GAAACAGGACAGCTTGTGGCAATGCAAAAGTAGGGTTGAGGTGTATGTAAGACAATTGAATAGAGACATCAGGAATCTTGGCGAATCAGCAACAATTGGGCGATTCACTAGCACAAAAGACATCCGTAGATTCCTTGGAAAACTAGCATTTTTTAGTTAGCATGCCAGGAGAATCAGCAGTAGCATGCATATAGGTGTGAAAAATAATAACGATAGCGTCAAGAATCCATTCACCAGGATGGTAAATAACATAAAGGGAATCACCAGTACACAGCAGCAAATAAGAAACGAGACGATTACTCCAAGATTATATGATTGATCCATCACCGAATGTATAAAATAGTACGGACGCGACACGGCTCCTACTAACACACAGGCTCCTTGTAAATTATTATTGACTATTCCTCAAAAAAAATTATTATTGACCCCAGCCTTTCGATTACTGGTACCCTTTATAATTAGTAAGTTCACCACCGTGCCGTCGTCGTCGTCGTCGTCTTCGAATTCGTCTTCGTCGTCGGTGACCTCGGCCTCCGATTCGTCCACCGCGTAGCCAAATTTTTCTTGCTGGTCGATGAGGGCATCCAGGTAGGCAAGCCTTGTGTTCCTGATACGAATATCTTGGCGGTAGCTGTATTGGAACTCTTGGGATGCATGGATGTGTGGCCATTGCCTTGACAAAGTCGATCTGCGCCTTCGTCATCGTCACCAACCTCTTGACCAGCACCTTCTTCGTCTTCTTCCCGGCCGGCTGGGCCTCCTTCACCGTGGGAACCATGGTAGGTAAAAGTCCCGCCAGGGCCGCCGCCGCGTACTCCTTGAGCTTCAGGATCTTTCCCTCCTCCGACTTCCTTCTTGAGCTTCAGGATCTTTCCCTCCTCCGACTTGAGCTTCATCAGGATCCTCCGACTCGAGATTCAGGATCCTATTACGCTCCTCCTCCAACGACGCCATCGATCGCCTGTTTCGGCCCCGTTTGCTTAGCTGGAAAATAAGTTAAATAGTGTTTTGACTGATTTGTTGGGAGAGAAAACACTATTCTAATTATAAGACAAACGAACAGGGCCACTCGAGACCCGAGTCGCCGGCGGCCTCTGACGCGCTCGCCAGTCGCCACCTTCCTCTTTGTCAGCCGCCGCCGGCCGCCGCCCCGTCGCACGTGCAGAAGAGAAGGGAACGCAATACGCAAGGAAGGAGGAGAGCCGCAGTCCCGGCCCGCAGATATATATGCCCCGCAGCCTGGCAACTCTAACGGACTAATCATAAAGCCCAACTCGTTTACCAGGTTCGGCCTTTTTAGCTCTGATGATGATGGCACCGTGGGCCTAACGGGAAGTAACTGGACTAACCATCATGCCTCTCTTTATAATAATTAATTAATTACCTTCATCACCATCATATATATATTTTGAGATAAAAAAAAATCATATATATACTTTCCTTGTCAGATATGATTGTCTCTCTGAACCGGTTAGCCTGCAGGCATCTGAACCTCACATGACTCGGTACTTTTTGTTAGGTTCGGCAGGTTATTTTTCCCCCCTCTAAACAACATGGAAATGAAATGATAGTCATAAACAATAATCTGCATTCTGCAAGCCTAATCATACATAGGAATAGAGGACACTACCTTCTAGTTCTAGTGGTGACTTGAGCCTGAAGATGTGCGGAAAGAAAGCATGGAGGTGTCTCATCTCATGTAATAATGATCTAAACAGCTCAATCCGTGAATTATCTCCCACTTCACCTGAATGGCCCATTACCTGTATCTTTCTTTCGCCTTTCTGTTGCCCTGTTGATTCAGTGAATGAGCTTTCGGTTCCTGTAGCTTTGTTTACAAGATATGCTCCAATTTGTACCAAACCCCTGGCTTACTGTTTTTTTTTCAATACCCCCCGTGCCTTATCCTCTCTCTCTCTGCAAGACAGAATGTTTGATTGCCCTTTTGCTTTCAACATGGAGTTGCACACAGGTGTTGCATTCAGAGAAAAGGATTGTCGATGGATCTTGCCAGAATTTTCAAAGGTTTTGCCTTTTTTTTCCGTATTGACAAGGAAACTTGTTTTTGGTTTTCCAAAAAAAAGAAAAGATTTTTGGGTGCTCTCTACCGTGTCTAGTGTTGTCATTGACGTTTTCACATGTTGACGTGAATTTTTTTAATTGTTCTTGCTGCAAAAGGTACTTTTTGTAGGAATAAAAGGTAGAGTCTTCATTTTCAACAACATGCTGGATCAGATTAAATATCAGTACGTTTCTTTCCCACAAATAAACCCTTGTTGCTGCATTTTTCCCAATCTAGATTTGAAGAGAACACTTGTTGCTGTGATCTTTCAATTAAAAAAAACACAAGCCAGATGGGTCACCTGATCTCAGTTTATACAATTATACCTGCTGAAAAGTACAACGAACGCATGCAACGTCGTGAAACGACCTAATCAGCCGTAAACAAGAACGAGAAAGCAAAGGTCTCGTTGAACTATTATTGTTTTTATTTTTATTATCTTTTGTATATGGTGACAGTTTCGTGGTCGTCTTCGACAGTCGACTCCTCGTTTGTGAAAAAAAAAACACTGTTCTATGATTGATAAGCAGTTTAAGCTCCAGCTGCCAATGCTGCATCATTAAATCCATTTTATTAGTACCAACACACTTACACGCAACCGCATCAGCCGATGATGGAGTCGCATTGATCAAGAACAGCTAGGATCACACGTGATCTGGGGGGCCAAAGAATCAAGAACTTATGGAGACGATTGCATCCATGTTGGTCCATGATCCAGGCCCATGGAATGGTCCCTTGTACAGCTTATGCTCTCCAACATTTGCAGTTGTGTGGGATTTTATGTTTCTAAATCTGTAGAATGCCCATGAATCCTTCCCCTGTACTAATGTTCCTGATTCAAAATGCAGAGTTATGAAGCCTAGGTCTATCTGTGCCTATTTGTACATCAACAAATTATGGTTCACTTAAAAAACATGAAGAGGAAGAAAGATAAAAGAAAAGGAAGAAAATGACAGCCTCACGCTCAGCTGAGCGACAGCACGTTGTGGAACTTTCCTGTGCCCGTTTGTACGTCACGGCCGCCCACTTCATCCAGCCCCGGAGCCGCCTCTTCTAACAGCTAACGGGTCAACTCCATCATCCAAAGCCCACCGAAATTCGTTAAAAAAAAAAGGGGCTATTGCGTTCTTGCTCCTACTTTAACGTCCATTTGTGATTTTATCTTTGCTTTTGTCATCGTTATGATTTTACCCATATTTTTTTTTAAAACGAAGCTTAAGTTTACCCATATTCCGTGAACAGTAGGTAATTGTGTCAAATGGGCTTAGTAAGAACAAGTTTGCCCATGCGAAATTGTCCCTACTTATCTTAATACATTGTGATTTTACTCCTATTTTTTTTTTAAATTTGGCAGCATCATTACACAATTTGTTACATATGATTCCACACAGCATGCAAATATAGATATATAATATCACATCAAGTAAAAGTGTAGCTAAAGTATCTATACAGTACCAAGCCTCATCCAACATACAAGTCCAATAAAATCGATAGCTAATAATAAGATATTACATGTTCAATGTCATACATCACATTCATGCATCTATTCCTAACAATGCAGCTAACCTCCCTCCTCTTCCTCCTCCTTTGTTCTAGCCCCTTCTGTTCCAGCCCACATGTAGGTACCGTTTGCTGGTCTGGAAGTTCCAGACCCAAGACCAGCCGGCTGCTTCCCCTCACATTTTACTGTTCATCAAACCAGTCAAGCAGTGTTTCTCTCACACAACCAGCCAGTAGATCAAAGCTATGTATGTCAACAACTTGAGTAGGCAAGATTTTACCCCGTCGTCATGATTTTGATCCCCCATAACAAACTGAAAAATAACATAACTCTAGCAACAAGATTCGTTTCCATGTAATTTGACCTACAAATCACGTCACCGACTCTACATAAAGAAACTCGTTCTTCCTGCACACAAATCACAGGAGCGTCGACCTCGGGCGGCGGCGCCGACGTCGTTGCGAGCAGACGGGCGGATCTTTGGCATCGCAAGACGGGCGCGCGCAACATCGGCGCCCATGACCGGCGCAGACACGCTGTAGTCGGCTGGACGCCACGCCAAGACGTGAAGTTACCGCATGCGACGAGGAACTGAAGGAGATCCCGCGCGCCGGCTCAGTCAGAGGTGGTGGTGGGCCCCGAGGCTCCAAAGACACCGCGGTGTGGTTGGGCAATGCGGAAGCCGACGCGGTAAAATCAGCCGACGGCGGCCGCACTGAAGAGGTCCCTTAGCAAGCGGCGGCGCGGCAGAGGCGATGGTGGTAGACTGACGGAAACAAATTTCAATTCAGAAACGAAGGTGGAGGCAGTGGAGATCGACCGACGCAGACAAATTTCAGATTAAAAAAACGAAGATGAAGGCATTGCGTCATTTAGCCTCTTCGCTTGTTGGTTTCACCACCAAAACCCCATCAACGATGTTTTCCTCTCAAAAACCAAAGACTAGTCAACTTAAACCAAAGACCAAAGACCACCAACCAAATGAACATGCCCATTGATGGATACAAATCTCACGGAAACAAAACGTAACTGATCCAGAGATTTACTCTACTGCCGCCAGCTGCCCAGCTCATCGAGAGGGCCATGCCGATGCAGATTCATGCCAATGGGAGGTCCCTTGTGCCCGTTGAGCACCACCACCACCATGGATATTGCAGCTGCTTCGATCTTCACAAAAATCAATCGGATTAATACAGGCAAAATTCATAAGATTCAACAAAATCATTGTACGGTCACGAGTTCGGCTTCGATCCATTAGCGTCAGATCCACACGACACCAGACCTGCAGGTAGGGGAGGGGAGGATGCGCCGCCGCCGCTTGGTGGAGTTGGGCACCACCCTTGGTCCGCCTTTGCCACCATTGAGGAGGACGGGAGGGGCATCACAACCAGATCCACGCGGAACAGGGAGCCGTCGTAGGGGAGCACATTACTAGCTATGGCCGCGCCGCCGTCAGGGGCCGCCGAGCACGCTGGAAGGGAAGGGGCGCCGCCGTCGGGCCCATGCCCCTACGCCGCAGATGTTGGAGAGGAAGCCACCGTAGATGCCGTCGCGGCGGAAGAAGCTACCGTGGAAGGTGTGGCCAGGAGGAGCAGGGCGAGGTCGAGCTCCATTGGGGCGCCGCCGCCCCCGAGGTGGCCATGGGGAGTGGCCACGCGCTCGCCACGCCGGGGGAGAGGGCAAGGCGCCACCATCCATCATCGACGCCCCCATGCCCCGATTAAATCACGCGCCAAGAAGGGGCGCCAGCGTCTAGGGGCTAGCCAACGCCACACACCAAGGCGATGTAGAGGATGGGGGATTGGGGAGGGTACGAGTGGAGAAGGTTGGTCTTGCTGCGAAGGGTTTTATTGTTTTTATTTTTTTTTTATTCCAGATACAACTAATAGATAAAAATAAGGATAAACTGAGTCTTAGTAGTTACAAAGCAGGAGTAAAATCACAAGGATAACAAAAACAGAGATAAAATCACAATTGGACATCAAAGTAGAGGTAAGAACACCCTATTCCCTTAAAAAACACTAAAATTAACTAATTACCACTAAAACTAACCAGCCTCCAGCTCCTAATCAGCAGAAGGAGGTTGTTAGTTTCTGCCAGTACAACTCTAAACAGCCTCCAGCTCCTAATCAGCAAATCATTAATCACACAAATAATCACTAGTTCTAGTACTAATAAATACCACCATCTCCTAATCGCTTTGCTAATTACCAAACCAAAACGTCGAAAACCAAGGGAAACCCAACAAGAAAGCCGTCAAAATCTCCACCACCACAAGAAAACATATAAAGTGCGGCTCTCGTGCCCCCCACCCCACCTTCCTTCCCGACGAATTCCGTTTCTCGCGTCGATTGCTTGCACAGCTCGCTTCCTCTTCGTCTTCCTCCCCCTTTCCTCGCCTCCCGGTAACCGCCGTAGCCAAAGAACCTGGCTGCGGCGCGGGCGGCCGGTCCTGCTGCGCCGGCGGCGGCGCGTGAGATGGAGGATTGCGGCGGCGTCGCGGCCGGAGGCGGCGGCAAGAAGCCGTTCCAGCTGACGCGGTCGCTGACGTACCACCACCACCAGGGGCACCGGCCGGCGGCGTCGGCGGCCAGGTGGCGGCGGCAGCAGCTCGCGGACGAGCCGCGCGCACAGCGGCCGCAGGCGGTGGTGCTGTACACGACGTCGCTGCGCGGGGTGCGGCGCACGTTCGCTGACTGCACCGCGGTGCGCGCCATCCTGCGCGGGTTCCGCGTCGCCGTGGACGAGCGGGACGTGTCCATGGACGCCGCGCTCCGCCGGGAGCTCCAGGCGCTGCTGGCCGCGCGGGGACGCGCCTTCGCGCTCCCGCAGCTGTTCATCGGCGGCCGCCTCGTCGGCGGCGCGGACGAGGTACGGCAGCTCAACGAGACCGGCCAGCTCCGCCGGCTCCTCGACGGCGCGGCCGGGCAGGACCCGGCCTTCGTCTGCGACGCCTGCGGCGGCGTCCGGTTCGTCCCCTGCACCGGCTGCGGCGGCGGCCGCAAGGTGTTCGTCGAGGAGGAGGACCGCGTCGTCCGCTGCGGCGAGTGCAACGAGAACGGATTGGTACGCTGCGCTAACTGCTGTTCTTGATCGGCAACGCCCAACGGGGACGGCGATCGTTCGCCGTTCCATTTGTGCCACTAATCCAAGTGGTAGAGGTTGTAGTAGATATCAACAAGAAAAGAAGAGGGCCTTCGGTTTCCCGGCGTGGGATTCATGTGTGCGCGATCCGATCATTTTGAGGATCGGATTTGCTACTTGGTGGAGAAGAACAGATTGTTCTTGACTCCTTGCCGCAAAATTGCCATATGGTGATGGCGATTGGAGAATAAGAAATGGGCTTGTTTGTATATGCATCTCATGTATCAAAGATTGACACTGCTATTAGTTCAACTAATGTAAATACTTAAGTTTGGGGTGATGAATTTCTTCATGTCTTGTCCAGTTCGTAGACTCGCTCTCGTCTTTCTTAATAAACTGGTTAGAGATCTGAAGTTCTACGCAGCAAAAACAAATCATTTTTTTTAGAAAAAAAAGGTTAATTCCGGCCTCTGCGATTGGTTGCACACAGCAAGTTTTTATAGTTTTCAGCTCATATGCTAATTACATTCAAAGGGATAAGAGAACATCGAATGGAAGATAAAAAGTAAATAAAAGAATAAAAGAACTTTAGACATTTTCATTCTGAAATCTGAATATTAGGTGGGCTCACAGCTCACACACTGATTTTTTCGGCATAAAGGAACTGATCAAACTATACTAAATGAAGGCTCCTTTTTCTTTAGCGATTATAGCTAACATAAAGCTTCTTAACTGTTATCATGTTGTCCTGCAACTCTTCATATATAACTTGGGGCCAGCTTTTCGGTTCTTTATGCTAGAGCACTAATCTTGAATGCAGCTTTGCGGCTGCAGCTCCCAAATGAAGTGAAGTCACCAGGATTCTTTCATCAATCCTTTCATAATAACATTTCTATTGAGACAACTGGAAGTGTGCCGACTCCAGTCATGCCTGTTCGCTTCGCTGAAAAGACAAGCTGAAAAGTACTGTTCGCTGATTTGTTGTGAGAGAAAAACACGGTTCCTTCGCTGAAAAAGTATGGCTCATAAGACAAGCGAATGGCGCCGCAAGCCTTGAGTACAATTCTTTGCATGGCTGCTCTCACAAGGAAGGATACAATGCAAATCTAATCTGGCCAAGAAGGGGTTTGTGGAAAACACAAAATGCTATGTCTGTCATGGGACAGATGAGACGCCGGCTCACGTAGTCTTTGGCTGCACCGCTGCAAGGGAATTCTGGGAGGCTATTCAGATTACAACCGATCCCAGCTGGTCAGTTATAAAACTACAAGAGATCACGGCACCAACCACATCCCAGTATAGCATTTCCAAACCTTTGTACTGCTATGCTGCTGGCATATTTGGAAGAGGAGAAATAATATTGTCTTCAGGAATGACCGATCCACGCTGCAAGGAGCGCCGATGGCATGCAGGTCCGAAGCTCAACTCTGGAAAGCTCGCTTGCCGAAGAAGGACAGAGAAATAGTTGATGTATGGTGCTCCATTTTAGTTAACGCAATGTAAAAGCCAAGCTGAAAATGCAAAGGTAACTATGTATTTCAAACATTTGGCTTCGAGAGCCACATTATTAATCTAAATCAGGTGGGGGATCCCCCACCCCCCTCCCCGCGGGAGTCGACTTATAAAAAAAACCCCAAAGAAGTCAGTTTGCTAAGACGGCATTTCATTTGCTTATGATAACAAGCATTGAAGAGAACATGTAACAATGGAAATGGTTGGCATAACATCAGCTACCTCTACCTGGTTATAGGAGTATCAGCAAAGGTGGTGGTTTGGTAAGATGACATTTCATTTGCTTATGATAACAAGCATTGAAGAGAACATGTAACAAGGAAAATGGTTGGCATAATATCAGCTACCTCTACCTGGTTATATTTTCGAGTACTATAGATCTGTATGCTCCCTGAATTGCTAGTAAGTCCATTGGGACTGAGAAAGGATAAGATCTGGTTAGTCTGCTTTCTGTACAGGCAGGGGATCCGGTTACTCTGCTTTCCTTCCAGTGTATACAAGTTGTTAAAGCTCCAGTTTTGCAAATACAAAGCCGTGAGAAGATCATGAGGTTCTTGTCCATTGATATGTAAAGAATTACTCTCAACATATTTGGTAGTCAACCCTGAGCTGAAATGTTGAAGCCTGTGGAGTTGCTAAGGCGCTTTCGTTATGTTTATGTGGTGCAATTCAATCAGGTTGCAGACATATGAATTTATCAATTTAGCACCTCCCATTTGAACAATGACAGTGGTGTTACTCTGTCACATAATTTGTTCTGCCACTGTATTGTAAATCATTGTACTTCATCTCTCTCAAAAAAAAGTGTAATTCTATGTTTTGGATAAGTCAAACTTTTCTAAGTTTGACCAAGTTTTAAAAAAATTATCAACATTTATGTCTTCAATTAAATAAAAATATAATAATCCATCTAATATTTATTCGGTATCATAAATATTTATAATTTTTTATATTGATTTGGTCGAATTTAAATTTGTTTAACTCCTCGATAAGTAAGAATTATTTTTTTTTGGGGGGAATAATTTGTAAATTTTGTCGGTCCCAAAAAAATACTTTGCATTGTAAATCATTGTCAGTCAGTCCCATGAATCTCATCGATGGGTCAATACAAGCAGGGATTGTCAACGGATTTCAGGGTCAGAGAAGGTCTGTGTACTGATACGCACGCGTGCCCAGATGACACAGTAGTGGAGTCGTGCTAAGTCCTTTGACCGGTTGACCTGTGCAGGTTACCTAGGCAGTTTTGGCTCACCGAGAAGGTTGCCCTGCAGGCCGCAGCTGCAGGCACGGCACGGGCTCCGGATATAGTACCGTGCACATCCATGCTGCCGTTGTAGTTGCAAATGATGTGCTCTACCTCTCAGGTTTCCTGTTGAACAAAATAAACAGGCTTACATGAATGATGTGTACTCTCAGACAATCAGATCTCAATATCACTTATATACCAGCTGGAGCAGAGAGTGGTTGGAGCTAGTAACTCATTGGTCAAACTCAAAAACAATGGTGGTCCGCCGTCCAATATAGAGTGAGTCTGATCCACAGACAGAGTGAGCCGGGATACATCATTTACATTTCATGGAGTCCACAGACGTGCCATCAAGGGCCGCCATGGCCAGCTCTCAAGAGGTTCAAAGCAAAGAAGAGATTTGCCTCCGGTTCTCTAAATCATTCGATACCACCACACAACGACACAAGAATCACCCACGACTCAAAGATTCCAACTACCACCTACACCACCCTACAAGGTTCCTGGATTCCATGCTTCATGTCATGGTACACCGGAGGAAAGGAGCACACGCAACGCATGCCTGCATACTGGCGACTCACTGCTCCTTCCAGATCCTCCCGGTGACCCGCAGCTTGAGCTCCTTCCTGTCGCCGCCCGAGAAGAAGAGGGCCATGTTGCGCTGAATGATGAGCCCGTCGTAGCTGTCCCGGACCTTCCGGTGGCTGTCCCTGATGCTCCGAGGCACGCCCTGCCATGTCATCTTGCGCCCGTTCCCTCCCACCTCCAGGCTGTAGCTGTAGTTCTTGGCCTCAGCGTCGTCGCCCATGAACCGGAGGAAGGCGATGTACACGGGCGCCATGCCCAGCTGGAAAGCCTCGAAGTGCAGGCAGAAGTACTGGCCGAAGCAGCTGAAAACCTGGAGGATGATTCTGTGATTAGCTAAGGCATACTCAGTTCCCATGGAAACTAAAACAAAAAACACAGGCTTCAAAAGGTGGGATATAACGTCCCTTTTTAAAAACAAGGCAGTACTATAACGCATATTCTACTTTGCCCAGAGAAGAAAAACGGTAGAGCTGATGATGGCAAGCAATCACTTTGTGTCTGTAGTGAGTACCATGACTGACAGAGCTGATGATGGCAACAGTGCAACTTTTTAGTAGTATGTACCAGGGCTAGTAAAGCTGATAAATGTGCACTTGTTTAGCAATCAGAAAAAACATGAACTCAATGCTAAGATCCAGATCAATCAAATCTACATATACAAAATTGTCCTAGGGATTCAGGTCAATCAGAATATCATGTTGACAAAGAAAGAATCGACATCCTAGAGCCACAAACTTATACTGAGAATTTAGATCCAGGTCAACACACAAAACATGAATTATGTACTATGATTCTACGGTACAGAAGTCGATGAGCATTACCGTGAGCATCCAGGTAGCATTCTCAACTTCATGAGGATTTGACTTGACATAACGATGATTGAAGGTGCTTCCATTGTGCATGTCAACCTTGTGGTCATCTTTCAAGTGATTTACTAAATATGCAATATCACCAGCAACTGTGCATTCAGATCCAGCATATGGACAAGTATAGGATCTGTATTGGCACTGCGATTCATGTTTCAGCTTGCAATAGTAAGGGTATATTCCCAAGCACCCAAAGTTCTGGTACTTGCATGGAAGCTCTAGTGATGCAGCCACCTTTTCCAGAGCAAGACATCTTATGTTACCAAGTTCATGCCTGCACGTTGGACAGCGATTATGAACCCTTGGCTTGCATCCAGAACACAGAGTATGTCCGTTGGAGCACTGCACCAACACATGCAAAAATAATGTTAAAGACAAGCGTGCTAATTCAACTTGCTTTGTAGGGGAATATGAGGTTATGTTCAACATAATGAACCAATAGCAAATGTTAAGAGTCCCTCCAGAAAGAATCTGTGCTGCCACAGACAATGTAGAAAATGAAAATAAAAAAATACAGTGTGTCAATGTGTGCATTCAAACATTGACTTGCAATTGCTATCTGTAAAATCTCAACTGTGTCAAGGGCGTTGATGCCCAAGACAGGAGGCCCTTGGCTACGAAGCTCGTAGCCAAGACCGGTAATGGCACGGGGTTGATCCCCTGAGCGCCCAATTGTGAAGGGGGTGAGATTGAGAGAAGAAGAGGTAGATTAGGAGATAATTGTTCTTGCTTGATTCAATCTCAACTGGTTACAGGGTATAAATAGAGGAGCTCAGCCCCTAGGTGCCCAGCCTCTGGCTCCTTGTTTCTCACCCCAACATTAATCCTAATCTCTCATTAACTCTAATCTCTTCCCCAGAATTCTAATTGCCATTGATTACAGCCGGCAACTCCTGGGATACTGTCCTAGCTGCCCTGGCTGCATCTCGAGCCCTGGGACGCCTTTGATACTGGCGCCCCCACATCACAAACTGCATATATGCAGCCTAAAGCAGAACTCTATTCAAAACTCCCAACATTCGGCATATTAAAAGGCTAGAATAAGAATAGAATATCGCAAGTATATGCTTCAGCTGAATGTAATTGAGATTCAGTGTCAACCAGTACCTGATGAATTGGAGGATACATAGCACTCAAACACACAGGGCATTCCAGTAGCTCACGCACGTTGCCATAGCTTGCCACATTTGGTTTCGGTGAATGCTGAATATGATCACCAACAAGTTCAGTGACATCCAGCATTTCCTCATTCTTTGGAGGATCAATAACCTCAGCATGGCTATCATCAATATAAGTAACTGATGCCATGGGGAACCTCTAGGTCGAAAATCCTATTTGGAGGAAAATGGGAGCAGTGGAAACATATCAGGCATACAAGTTAGCAAGAAAAGATTTAAAAGAGAGAGGCAATTTTTATCATCAGCAAAATCACTGAAGATATTAAAGAATAGAAGCATATCTTATAATTCAGAAAGAAAAAGACAAAAACAGTGCCTTATCAAACAGCCTCAGTTTTCTTTAGGAAGGACAAATATTTATTTCATTTGCTGAACCCCGAGGTAATCAGATATATCTTTTTAAGGGCAATCATAAACTAATTGGACAAACTTGAAGGGTTTTGTACGAGCAAAGCCCTAAAGGCAGCAATAATACAGTTGGACCACACATAAAGGTTTTGTACGAAAAATTTTCATTTTCATTAATGAAATGAAAATCATGAGCAACCATGCATGACACTTTGGAGGTTTGACCCAATAAGACAATGTTTTGAAAGCTGGATTGCAGGAATTTCAAAAGAGACAGCTCAACCAGGAAATATTCACACATTCCAAATAGGACATAAGAACGCCTGTCATATGCACAAGACTTTTAAGTGAACATTTAAAACCAAAAAAAAAATATCTTAGGTTCCAGAGCATTTTCAGGCTTTTTCCTTGCAGATTTAATGCATGTTTGAATTATTTTTTTTTCATTGCAGGTATTTTGCTGACAAGTGAGTTTAAAGAGAAAACTACACTAACAATGAATAGACAAAACTGAAGTTATAAAACAGCATCATTTCCCAAATATAGCAAAGAGCAAGAAAGTTTGTTCGCCAGTTGATCTAGAACCAATTGATTCACAGGAAGGAGCAAGAAGAACACAAGCCCGAGGAGAAAAACGATGTACGGGGTGGAAAGTTGGTGGTGGAGAACTGAAGGCAAATGATGGGCGTGGTAGAACATGATTACATGAAATGGAAAAAGGGGTGCCAAACTGACACTTCCATCAACCTCCACCACAACTTGTATTGCTCCGAAAGCAGTAGGCCGGCTACTACAACAGTTGCAATCAATCACCCCCCAAAAAGAAGGGCAGTTCATCACATAAAGCTATTTCCTCATCGCATAACGAATCGCCAGTAACATGCAGGATCTCTAATAATTGCCATTTGACAGAAACCACGGGTTTTTGCAGTGGGCATACCGAAACAGTGGACAAAGGAAATTATGGCAACGTGGTGCCAGAAAGATACAGGCATCATAACACAAATCACAAATGAGCACATCATGACTACTCCGAAGGGAACACACCATAGAAATTGAAGTCATCTTTATTAAGGAAGGAAAACCGAAGCTATTTCTCCTAAAAAAAACAGAAACTATGGGCCTGAGCCTACAGAACTCCATGAAATTGTAGGGACATGAAAATGATGATCTACTATGATCGCACAGAATGGCGAGCTTAAATGACTTCTAAAGAAAGAAGGAAGGAGAGGGAACAACTCCAATGACCAATATAATCTTTTAGAACTAAGAAACAGTCCCAGGGAAAAGATTAACATAGCATCCCATATGTGGCCGCCCAAACATGTGACGGGTTAATCAACAGTAGCTTGCGCTGCATTTAGCTAACCAATACGCAATACACACACACATATATACATATATACACACATATATATATATATATATATATATATATATATATATATATATATATATATATATATAGAGAGAGAGAGAGAGAGAGAGAGAGAGAGAGAGGTTTGAACCAAGAGAGACCCAGCATCTCGACACATAACCAGGTAACACTGCGAATCTACGATCATTTGCAGAGCCGCAAAATTCCCCAAACCAGACTAGACTAGAACCCTAATCCACAACCACCGCGCGCGCTCCAAGCGCCCGCACCCCTGATCTCGCGCTCACACATGAGCAACAACGGACCAAGAATCGCAGGAGCATTGCAAAGCCAGCCCCAAGATTTAAAAAATCCAATCTTTCCTCGGAAGGAAACAACGAAACCGAACAAGCGGGAGAACAATGCGTCACCTCAGAGGGGAGCCGCGATCGAAACCGGATGCCAGGGCGGAGAAGTCGATCTCCGGCCGGCGGATGGGGCTTTGGCGTGATGTGATGCCACTGTGCCTGTGGGGGAGGGAGGAGAAGGGCTCGAGAGAGGAGGCAACGGCGTTCGAATTAAAGCATCTCTCTCTCTTCCCCCGAGCAGGCCAACACCGAGAGAAAGTTACGGGTGTCTTCTTTTACCTCGGGGTTTGGAAGTAGGGGTTTAATTTAAATTAACATACGATTCTAAAAAAAAATTAAAATTAACACACAAGCGTTTTAATTTTACTCATGTAAAGCACACAAAAAATTGTCTTGAAAACACTAGAATACTTACATTTTATGAGGATTATGTATATCTTTTTAGTAAAAAAAAGATACTGTAATTTAGATGAACAGTCCTGCTAGGCTGCTAGTAGTATGCTCTCGCGGAATCGAATAAAAAAATGGAAGTTCAGAGCTTTACTGGAGTATACGTACGTCTTTCGGAATGACGGTACTGAAAGTGGAAGTTCAGCTTTGGCAATTGCGAAGACAAAGTCAGCTTTAGCAGGGTGGCACATCCAGACGGACACTCGCTGAAAAAGCAAACAACAACGGGAATCAATTTTCCCAATCGAGCATGCCGTTCCAAGAAAGAAGAAACAACGGGAACGGATTGTTTGTTTGTTTCGCCAGAGATTACACGTGAACGCGTAGTAAAATGTCTGACGGAGCGATGGTCCAGTGGCCTACTGGCCGGCCTGAGACAGCCGTTGCAACTTGTTTTGAATTGATACTGTCAATCTCTTCTCACCCCCAAGGTTCTCTATTAACTCTAAACAACACGACTAACTAGACGGGATCCACCCTGCTTTCACCTCACTCGTCGTTTTTACTCTGCTTATTAAGCTGAGCAAGCGGTAAGTGCTGTTAACGACAAATTACGGCACAAATTTACCAGCTTTTGGGCACCTCCAGCTCTCGCCTGTCGTACCAGGCAACGGACAGAGGGCTGTGTACAGGATTGAGTAATTATGCATTTATGGTGAACAGTAATCGACACGGACTTGAATTGGCACTGTTTCAGGCAGGGGGAAATGAATAATCGACATGGACTTGAATAGGCACTGTTTCAGGCAGGGGGAAATGAAAGGATCTGTCAGCCTCTGTCCAAAGGATCAACAATGAATTCCCCAACTTCTTGATGGTCATATCACGTATATTGACGTGTACTATATACACAGGGATGAAGTGAAGATGAACAGAAGATCACTGTTTTTTTGAAACAATAACAGAACTTCACTGTAATCTCAGTACAGTACACCAGTACCTGAGTTCTTGCTTCAACAGCCAGCAACACAGCAGGACAAGTTACCAAGAGCTGCATGAACTAGACCTCGCAGGGTAAAAGCCAGATTGGTCCCCCATCCTGTCCCTCGTTCAAATAACGCCAGCCAAAGCGCAAGGCATAAAAACATTATAATCAATAACCTGAGCGGCCGATCCAAAAACTGGGGAAAGTTTTATCAATGCCATTGCCAACTCTTCAAGGCTCACTTTCAAAACAAAGCAACATGTTGATTGTTGATTCAAACATCAATGAGTTATTATAAGATTACAACAAACAGGAGACAGCCATCTGAGTTTACCAAACGCTAGGGACCTAGAATGATACAGATATTGATGAGATACAAAGAACACGAGAGCTTATTGCTATGCTAGTGTACATGCAGTTCTACTTTTCTCCTACTTCGAACCAGAAGAAAACAGAGCTGCGGGAATAGATGGCCCGCACACGCTGCAGCGCGAGTGTTCCGTTCGTCCTGATAGCCTTCGCACCTCCTTCAATCCGGGTGCGAACAACAGTTACACCATGCCCTTGCTCCTTGAGCGATGGAAATGAATTGTACTCTATCGCTGTGCTGATTATTGGAAAGGACAGATAATCCAGAGGGTTTTGCTCACACTGCAGCAAACACTCCTGAATAGTCAATTTACCGCTTCGGTGCAGCAAGCAGCATCCAAGTTCTGCTCTAATAGTCAAATTTGCAATCTTGCATGTCGATAGGAACTCCAATGCGCTGTTCGATAGGTCAATCAAGGTAAGACTGACATACTGATAAAAAAAACAGCAAGATAAACAGAACCATATACTAGTTTGCAAGTTCACTATTTTCTGAAGTAGATAGAACCTACATTACCACCTTTCGATTGAAAAAGACAATAAGGGCAACAACTGTATCCTCTCTAACTATCAGGCAACGATCCAATATAGTTGAATTAATAACCTTAAGTCAAGCATACAACACAAAAAAGGGGGCATACCCAGGGCTAAAACTTTTTTTTTTGAACCCGCAGGAGAGCTGCACATCATTATGCTAAGAAAAAAAGGGGGCAAAAATCCTCACAAACTCACACACACCATCCAAGATTCTAGATGCACATACGTGCCTGATACAAAAGAAAAAAAACCCAACCATGACCAGCACTAGGCCTCAGTTGTCTATTGGCTGTAGAGCGAAGAGGTAAGAAATACCTCTTGCTCCAGCTATTTCCCACAGGATGCAACCCCTCACAAGCGATTAATAAAGCTTTAGCTTAATTTGGAGATGCACCATAAAACACGCACCTATTATGATGTTTCCATAAGGTCAGGCACTAAAAGCTACCACACAAGATCAGGTTTAGGGAAAGCATACAACAATAAATCATGATAAATTTTACTTTTCACCACTACAGCATCACATAAATAAACCTAGCCAACATGCTGCTGGGACAAATCTACAGGAAGCCTGATAATCATTGCATTTTTAAGGTGTACTAAAGGTGAAGCACAACAATTTACAGTAAGTTAAGAAGCGTGACAGTAATCAATCTTTTAAAAGATGGACCACCATAATGCAGTATGAAATGATCAGGAAGCAACAGCAGCAGATAAGATAACCACAAAGGGAAGGAGCTTACTTGTCGAAGCCACGTGAGCAGGTTAATACAGTGTCATCGGGAAGATCACCCCCGCCAATCTGATGTAAGTAAAATTGGGTTCACAGTTGCATCCACAAAACAAATGTTGGCGCCAAGTGCAGGAAGCATTCGTCAGATCAAATCTCTGTTGACATCTTCAGGACTCAGGGACATGGAAGGCAAAACTTACTATGCAAATAGGCTTCTTTATTTGGATGTTACATGCAACATGGGAACCACCAGCCGCAATAAGAATGGTGTCACCGGGCCTTCAACAAGGTACATGGAGATCAGCCATAACATCCGCTGTTCACAATGAGAACTAGAGAGGGAGGGAGAGAAATAGACCTAGCAGCAGAAACAGCGACCTCAAGATTTGGATAAACTCCAGGCTCCATCACACCTCTGATTGGCCTCTCAACACGCAACCATAGCCGAGGGTGGCATGCAAGGAAGCGCCATCTGTGGCAAACGAGGGCGGTGTTATACCTATCTGCAGGTTTAACAATGAAATTGCTAAAAACAGCTCATTTCAAAGCACATCAGCAGTACATGTTAAAGCATACCATCAAACACAGTTCAAACATGTCGCATCCAGACAACTCTTACCACTGTTGCAAACATTTCGGGACATAGAAAACTTCCATATTAGTATTACTACTACTACTACTACAACAACAACAACAACATAGCCTTTCAGTCCCAAGCGAGTTAGGGTAGGCTAGAGTTGAAACCCACCAAGAGCCCCAAATCACGGTTCAGGCACTTCAATAGCTGCCTTCCAAGTACTCCTATTCAAACATAGATCTCTAGGTATATCCCAAGCTTTCAAATCTCTTTTTATTGCCTCACCCCATGTCAATTTCGGTCCTCCTCTACCTCTCCTCATATTATTAGCTTGGCTTAGGACTCCACAATGCACTGGTGCCTCTGGAGGTCTCCTTTGGTCATGGCCAAACCACCTCAACCGATGTTGGATAAGCTTTTCTTCAATTGGTGCTACCTCTAGGCGATCACGTATATCATCGTTCCGAACTCGATCCATTCTTGTGTGACCGCAAATCCATCGCAGCATACGCATTTCTGCAACACTCAGTTGTTGAACATGTCAAATCTTTGTAGGCCAACATTCTGCTCCATACAACATAGCCGGTCTAATCGTCGTTCTATAAAACTTGTCTTTTAGCTTTTGTGGTACCCTCTTGTCACAGAGAATGCCAGAAGCTTGTCGCCACTTGATCCACCCTGCTTTGATTCTATGGCTAACGTCCGCATCAATATCTCCATCCCTCTGTAGCATCGATCCCAGATACCGAAAGGTATCCTTCATAGGCACTACTTGACCTTCCAAACTAAGATCTCCCTCCTCCTATACAACTCCGCCAAAGTCGTATCTCATGTATTCGGTTTTAGTTCTGCTCAATCTAAAACCTTTAGACTCAAGGGTCTGCCGCCGTAACTCTAGTTTCCTATTTACTCCCGCCTGACTTTCGTCCACTAACACTACATCATCAACGAACAACATACACCAAGGGATATCCCCTGGTATGTTCCTGGTAACCTCATCCATTACCAAGGCAAAGAGATACGGGCTTAAGGCTGACCCTTGATGAAGTCAAATTTTAATCGGGAAGTAATCTGTGTTACCATCGTTTGTTCGAACACTAGTTACAACATTGTTGTACATGTCCTTGATGAGGGTCACGTACTTTGATGGGACTTTATGTTTGTCCAAAGACCACCACATAACATTTCTTGGTCTCTTGTCATAAGCTTTCTCCAAGTCAATGAAAACCAAGTGGAGGTCCTTTTTCTGCTCTCTAAACCGCTCCATAACCTGTCTTATTAAGAAGATTGCTTCTGTGGCTGACCTTCCAGGCATGAAACCAAATTGATTTGTTGATATCTGTGTCGTTCCTCGTAGGCGCTGCTCGATGACTCTCTCCCATAACTTCATAGTGTGGCTCATCAACTTAATTCCACGATAATTAGTACAACTTTGGATATCTCCCTTGTTCTTGTAGATTGGTACCAATATGCTTCTTCTCCACTTCTCAGGCATCTTGTTTGATCGAAATATATTGTTGAACATCTTGGTTAGCCATACTATAGCTATATCCCCGAGACATCTCCACACCCCATATTAGTATTACTAGCTATTGTAAATTGCTTTGAAAGATCATCTACACAAAGGCTACATTTGACATGAACTTAAAAGTATGACAGCCTATGGCAATGGCAACTGGTAAGAGGAACACAAGAATATTCCTCAATCTCTAGTTATATATTATATATGATACAAAAGCATCAAGACTATTTCTATAAAACTAAGAATTACACGATAAGCCATGGCCCATGTGAACGGTTATTGTCATCTACTCATCTTCATATTTCACCCAAAACAGGAGCACGATTGCGTAACTGCACCCAACTGAAGGCATGATACAGCATCAGCACATCTACAAGACTTCCGCAATCTAGCACACCCAGGAAGTATCAAACCAGTACCGAATTAAACAGATCTTCTCAGCACCCAATCTTGTGCACGCAAAAAACAGGTCAACCCAATCCTGACCCATTCTTCTTTATCTCCGCCCCATCCGCCCCGATTACTCATAGAATTAGGGGAGCTAGTCGGAATCCCCACGGGTTACAGATTCTCCATTCGATTGGTTCTCCTACGAAGGCGTGGACGTGGAAGCATAGGATTAGGAGCGAATCGAACCTGGGATTGGGCTAAGGAAGCTGAAGATGTGCATGAGGCAGCCGTCGTCCAGGCTGTTCATCGGCGAGATCAGCTCCTCCTCCACCACTGGCGCCAACGCGTGGCGCCGGCGCTTTGCCATTTCTTCCCTCTCCTAATCCTCCGTCGCCCCGGCCCTCTCTCTCTCCTCCGGGACCGGGAGTGGTAGGTCGGCGACGACGAGGGCACGGGATATCTTCTGGTGGGCCCTCCTGTCAGGGTTAGCCGCTTCGGCCTTGCGACGTCGCCACGTCGGCACGCGAACGCGACCGCCTTGGATGCATTTGCAAAGTCCACGTGCGGACGTGCCTTCGGCTTTTTTTTTTCTGTCAACCCGTACTAGACCTATTGAGCCTGGCCCAGAATCTTAATTAGCCCAGACATTGCACGTAGGTAAGCCGAGGCCCATGATAAAATTTCCAAAAGAGACAAGGCCCATGACAAAATGAAGATTTGCCTTTTTTTCTTTTTTTTTTCTTGTCGTGTTCATGTGTCGGCAGTGTCGCCAAGACGCCGACGATGTGGCTGGTGTACTGAGTTCCTTGGTAATTTCAGGGGGAAAAACATATTGAAAAGGCAAATGCGAAAGGTTTATCTAGTGTTCAAGATAAAAAAAAAATGAGAAAGGCAGACGAGAAAAGTTTGTGTTTCATCTGGTTGCTTTATACTTTTATTTCATCTTGTCTATTACTCCTCTCTCTCTCTCTCTTCGATGATGCCTGTGTGCATTGCACGGCTGTAGCACATCCTGTCCTGATGTGTGTATATGTGTAATCGTGCATAGATTATACTATGCATTTGTGCCATTGAGCTACATGTATATGAGTTCATCTTTATGCAACTTTGTTAAAGCGTTGTGCAAATAATATTAATACACTGTTCGTTGAAGCATGGGCTGCATGGCGCTGCAAATAATGAGCTCTGAAACCATGCTCACATCTCGGAAGACTTAATGCATAAGGAAGGACGTTCGTGTTCCTTCTCCTGGCAAGAACGCCGGCCGGCGACGTTAGTTTATGCATATGCGTTTATTACCCAATCGTGTCATGAGTCGTTTTGAAGACATTTGTTAGTGTTAGCTTTCGGATGATTCCCAATAACAAATAAATAAATAAAGTTACAAAGCTGAAGTGCTTTATGATCTGTACCACGCAGTTTCGCTCTGAATTCTTCCAGTGCAACGTTGTGTCGTTGCAATGCTCTGGTCTCCTCATCCGATCCACCTATAAAAAAAAAATCGGCGATCTTCCTTCGCCACCAGCATCGCCGCTCCGGGATCAGATCAGACAGCATGTCCACCGTCGCCGTCCCGAACCCTCCGCCGACCGCCTCCGAGGACGCCGAGAGCCTGAGGAACGCGCTCCAAGGCAATCACAGCATCTTCTTCTTCAGTTAGCCAGCAATGGACACCACATCAGCTTTTAATCTTCCGTTACCTAGCTTTCTTGCCGGTTTCATTTCGTCGCGGCGTCGCCAGATGCACTGACGCGGCGGCCTCTGTCGTTGGTGAGCACTGTTGCAGGATGGCGCGCGGACAAGGCCGCTCTGATCGAGGTCCTGTGCCGGCGCACGGCGGCGCAGCGGGCGGCGATCCGGCGCGCCTACGCCTTCCTCTACCGGGAGCCTCTCCTCAACTGCTTCCGCTACAAGCTCTCCCGCCATTGCCTCCTCTCCGTCGATTTCTGGGTAGGTAGTATAGAACCTCCTGCGATGCGATGGATGCCAAGAACAGGAAGCTCGATCGCCTGTCTCTCGTCGTACTCCAGTTTATCATCAGACGACGGCATGCAGATCGAGTTCTCTGAAGTCTGAACTTCTGGTGTGTTTTCCATTTTCTTCCATTTTCCTTTGTTCACTCAGAAAGCGATGATCCTGTGGACGATGGATCCGGCTGAACGGGACGCCAACCTGGTGCACGAGGCGGTGAAGAAGAAGGACGAGAGCTACGTCTTGGTGCTGGTCGAGGTGTCGTGCGCTTCCACCCCGGACCACCTCATGGCCGTCAGGAAGATCTACCGCAAGCTGTTCAGCTGCTCCGTCGAGGAAGACGTCGCGTCTTCCCCTACGCTCCAAGAGCCTCTCAAGAAGGTACGTAAAGATCGTGCGTGGAAATGTGGAATCTTACAGTCCAAGCTCTCGTCTCTTTTGCTGCACGCCGGACATGTTCAGACTTAATTCAGAAGCGTCGTCTCTGCTCCTGTGCTATACCTACACTACAGATGTTGCTCCGTCTTGTGAGCTCCTACCGCTACGCCGGCGAGCATGTCGACATGGACGTCGCGAAGCTGGAGGCGGCTGAGCTGTCAGAGGCCATCAGAGAGAAGCGCCTACACGGGGACGAGGTTGCCCGGATCATCAGCACCCGTAGCAAGCCTCAGCTCAGAGCGACGTTCCAACAGTACAAGGACGACCAAGGAACAGACGTCGTCGAGGTACGTTCAGATCTTCAGGCATGCATTCTTGTGCGTATGCCTTCAGGCTTCAGCTGTTCGCCATTCGTGTTCGTCCATTGATCAGGATATCAGAAGCAGCCATTGCGGCGGCAGTGGCGGCGGTGGCAAGCAGCTCGCTGGGATGCTAAGGAGCGCCGTCCTGTGCTTGACGTCGCCGGAAAAGCACTTTGCAGAGGTAGGTCGTCCGGAGAAGCAGAGCGCGGCTCGCCGGCTCGGCGAACAGACCACGACCGCCTTTCACCACCGTCGAGATGGCTGCCATGGTGGCGCTAACGTTCAGTGCGTGACTGCGTGTTGCTGATGGGCAGGTCATCAGGTACTCGATCTTGGGACTGGGGACGTACGAGGACATGCTCACGAGGGTGATCGTGTCGCGGGCGGAGGTCGACTTGGAGCAGATCAAGGAGGAATACAGGGCGAGGTACGGGAGCGCTGTGAGCCTCGACGTCGCCGGCGACACCTCCTTCGGCTACAGGGACATGTTGCTGGCCTTGCTAGGGGGGCAGGAGTAACCACCCATGTATGCAGCCTCTTCGTGTTTAAGAGATTCAGAGCTTCGGTGCAATACTGTCGTCTGTAGCGCAAGTGTGCTATATGTTCCTGAAAAAAGTGTTCTTTTTACGGAGATAAACATTGCTTTTTTATAAAAAAAATAGAGAAATGCTATACATTAGCCGGTTGTTTCATTTGCTCAAAATAGCCGGTTTTGTGGCCGTTCGTTTTGTCTGTGTGTCTTCATTTCGATCGTCCAATCCATCTTAGCGCGCGGCACCCAGCTCCGTCGTCGTCTTCAGTTTCTGACTGTGGGCCAGCGTGGTTTTTTTGACTTTCTTGGTAGTGGCGCCCGAATTTTCTCGGCCGTTTCCCACTTTCCCGATTCCCCCATTTTCTATTCGGCTCCCCCTACAACCGAGTTGAGGCGACTCGCGGCGGTCGGCGCTGTCAAGGGTTTCGGCGAGCTAAGTTCCTTTGTTCCCCTTCCCATGTTTCCTTTTGGCGTCACTGCTGTTTGTATCTGTCGTCTCTCGAGGATTTCGCTGGTACCGAAGAAATCCCCGCCACTGCCGCACCCGTTGTGCGCCGGTGGATCTAGTCTCGACGCAGGAGGGTTGCGCCGCCCGTCGATTGGAGGGAGTAGTCGCGCGGCCTCTCTGTTGATTTGAGAGAGTCCGCGGCTGTCGCGTGTAAGATCCCTTAGCCACCCGGCTGCCGCCTCCGCTGCTACTCACATGATGACGGGCGCGGCGTCCCGCGGACCACAGCCTGCTCCGTCCGTCGCCGCTTACCACCGGGGCGGGCGCGTGGTGTCCCGGCCGGCTCTCGTGGAGTCGCGCCTGACAGCAGGAGCCGCACGCCTCCAGCGCCCAAGCACCACTAGGCCTGGTGGCCTGTTCTTTTGTCTGGAAGCAGTCCGTTCGTTGCCCCTCTCCCTCTCTGTTGTTTCTGTGACCAAGGAGCTAGATCGATCTCCTTTGTTACATGTTCAGTTGTTCAGTTCAAGTGAATAGTTTATATATGCTCAAGTTGATTTGCTGACTATTTGTTTAGTTCTAGTGAATTATTAGTCATGTCCTGGATGGTTTTGAATCTTCCAGTACATTCTATGTTTAGTTCAGTGTAAATCTTTCAGAATAGTGATGTTTTATTTCATTGTAGAGTTTTAGTTAGTTTCTGATCCTGCATAGTTTGAGTTTTAGATTTAGTTTTAGTTTTCTTCAGAGTCTACCAGTGTGAACCATTGTAATCTTTTTGTTCAGGTTATAGTCATTTGTAGTCATAGTCATTTTATTTAGTTTCCGTTTTAGTAAGATTCAGTTCTAGTCAGTCTTGTAGAGTTCAGGTTATTTAGTTTCAATAGGTTATTTAGTGTTCACCGAGAAGTTCTAATGTTGGATTCAATTTTTTTTCATTTTTAGTTTTTAGTCTTAGTCATTTGTAGTCATAGTAAGTTTATTTAGTTTTTGTTATTGTAAGATTCAGTGCTAGTCAGTTTATTCAAATTTAGGAAAGATTCAGTCCTAGTCAGTTTAATTAAATTTAGGAAATTGTGTTCAGTGCTTTCAGTTTATTGAGTTGTTGCTTCATTCATAGTTTTAGTCTATTGTTTGATTCGTTGTTGTTTTCCATGTTCCCCAGCGCTGTTTTTTTTCTGTGTTGTTTAATCTGAAATCTGAAATGAGTTCGAATCTGAGAGCGGTTGCGCGGCAAGGGGAGGGGTTGGGGGGGGGATATTCGTGGGTTTGGGGTTAGTTTCAGTTGTCTTTTGGGTCTTAGTTTCATTATTACTTTATTTCTTAGTTTCATTCTAAGTTCAGGTTATATTTATTTAGAGCTTTTTAGTTATTTTGTTCATCTCAGTTACAATCATGTCAGTTCAGTTTCATTCTCTCTTTAGTTTAATGTCTACTGGTTCATTTCAATCTTCAATTACAGTTATGTCATTTCAGTTATATGTCTAGTCAATCTTCAATAACAGTTATGTCAGTTTAGTTTTATGTCTAGTCAATCTTCAATAACAGTTATGTTTGTTCTGTTATATGTCTAGTCAATCTTCAATTACAGAATTTCCTTACTGCAAATTCTACTCTAATAAGCTGTATTTGTTTCATAAGGTTATTCTTTTTTTTCTTTTTTGAGTTCAGTTTTTGGGTCAGCAGTTGAGTTGAGTTTAAGCTTCTGTTTAGTTTTTTGGAAGTATGTGAAACTCATTAAAACATGTTAAATTGTATATACTGATATAAACTCAGATGTTGGAATAAATAGCTCATTAGTGCATTTTTGAACCTAAACCTGATTTGAAATTAGGTTTATGTTTCAGGTTCAGACTTAGTGCATATTATTAGTTTCATTGCATTCTATTGATTAAAGGTTCAGGTTCAGTTTCATAATCAGGTTTAAGTTCAGTTTCTTTATCTGAGTTATTTAGTTCTCTTGACCAATGTTAGCTATAATGTTTTGTTTCTTAAACAAAGGTTTTTTATCCTCATTTATTGCCCTTGTGTATTGTCTGAATTGTTCCATAGCTAATTAGTATGATTGAATGCATCTTTTTATAATCAAGCTTGTTACCTCTCTTTGTGTAGGATCTCAATGCAGTAAGGTTCCTAGCAGAGAAAACCATAGTGGAAATAAAAGGAGAAAAGCCCCTCCTCTGTGAGATTTAGATGCTTAACCAATTTTGATCGGCATCTTGGAGGGACCACAATGACAGCATAACACTACCCCCTCTACTGAGACTCTGAGAGCAGCTATCACTGTTTATTTATTAACACAATGGATAGCTATTTTTCCAAATTCCATATGTGAGTCTGTTCTTTATGTCACTTTTTTCATGATATCTGACTGAACTACATATTTGTATAAAATGTCACTGTATTTCTTTTCTTTTTCTTTGTTCACTGCTACCAATTTGGATTTAATTTTCTTTTTTTTACTGCCCTTTGATGCTAATGGATGTCAAATCCCGGCTATTTTACTGAAACAAAACAGCCAGATTTTTTTCAGTATCATCTGGCTGTTTCTTTCTCTTGAAATAGCCGGTTGTTTTGTTTTACTGAAACAGCCGGATGTTGTATAGACACTTCCAAAACATAACATCTTACAAATCTGTAATATTTGGTTCCACTAAGTGTCTAGGTCAGGTGTGCGCTGTTCGTTTCACTGAAATTTGGCTTATACTGATTTGTTGTGAGAGGAAAATAGTGTTCGTTCGCTGAAAAGTACTACTGAAGTAATGTTGAAGAACAGGGCGAGTATAAATGCGTGTCTCTTGCAGAGATAGACCGCTCGCCCCCCGTGTCGAGGCTCGGGCGGCAGCAAACCCTAGCCGCCCCCCGGCGTCAACCCTACCCCTTCCCTCCCTTCACCGCTGCCGGAGGGCGCCGCCGCAAGGCCCGCGCAGCTCCCCATGAAGGCGGCGGCAAGGCTCCCTCCTAGGTGGGTCTCGCATGCGCTTCCATGCAGGGAGAGCGCTCTGTGACCGGCGCAGCGTCGTGGTTTCGTGCAGCAGGAGTGGTATGTCGTAGCTTAGCGCAAGCTACATGCGGCGGCATGGTCGGGGGCTGCGACCAGAGGCTCCGGAGTTGGCGGAAGTTTGGGAACATGAAGGCGACTCCGGGTCTACGACGACTGGCGGCGGCTCCGGCTCTCCTCTGACCGGATCCAGCCCTCTAGCAGCCGGATCTAGTGCCACTTGCTCGGATCCAGTCGGGGAGCACCCGCCGTGGGCAGTGGCGAGCGATGGAGGCCGGGTCGTCCTCCGACGGGACGTCATGCTCAGCGTTGTGCGATGCGGGCTGCGGTTGGCGTGGTGGTACCTGCGGCTGCGCCAGACAAAGCCAGCGACGTCAGCTGCAGCAACCTGGCTTAGGCTACTTGTCCGGTGCAGATGGCCAGCTGGACGATTCTGTGTTGGGCTCTGGGAGCGCGGTCAAGCCGCAGGCTTGCCAGCAGTGGGGCTGTGTGACCATGGGCGTCCCCTTCATCGGTTCTGGCGACCCCACGCCTGATTCTGGTGAAGCTGCTGCTATGGGCGCGGTGTTCTTCTTCGGGCGCGCACGCGGTGCATGTGGTTTGTCCACGGGGCTACGTGCCCGTGGGCCCCTCCCCCTGTGCCACTCTCTTTGGCCGACCACGGCTGATGAAGGCCTATTCCGCCTCTCGAGTGGAGGGAAGAACATCGTTTGGGTAGAGTAACGACGTCGCCCTTACCTGTGTCTATGGTGGCGGTGATGTTGGGATGTCAACTCTAGAGCGGGAGCGTTGGTAGGGGTTCTCGGCGAAAGCTCTGCTTAGTTCTTGGCTGGGCCAGCGATGAGTTTTACTTCTTTAAGGCGTCCCTGAAGAATCTCTTGCTCTCCCTTCCTTGGTCGGCCCAACCAATGTATTGACTAAAAGCTTAACGGTTGCTGTTGGAGTGGAGATCGCCAGAGTTTTTGCCGCTTGGTGGTGGTGTTAGTTGGTGAACAACTATGTGCTTTTCATGAGAGGTCTTTGTTTTCCCTTTTTCTTCTTGCTTTGATGTATTTGTGGTTGTGCCACATTTGCCCTTATGCTGGTGCGTGTTGTTTTTTCTTACTCGTGGATATGCCACAACCTTGCCTCTGAGCCGGTGCTGCTATATTGGTTTTAGTCCGGTTTTCCAAAATTAACCGGAGGAAAGGGTTTTGCCTCGTTTTTCCAAAAAGCGAGGTTGTTGATGCATATCAATATATATGCAGGTGGGGATTCAATCCCCCCGGTGACGGTTCAAAAAAAGCATGTCACTTGATAGGTTTAATATAAGAAACTCTCAAATTAATTAATGACACTTATTCGGTACACTAGTGTTTTTTTATTATTCTGCGAGCTTAAGATTTATTGATTTAGTAAAAAAGAACTGCAACAACACTGTTGGGGTGGACTATGGAGACAACTACAACAACACTTTGTTGGGATGGACTATGGAGACAGTAGGTCTCATCGCACCTCATTGGTTTAAGACAGTTGTATCCCTCATTACTGTACTCCTTTTGTCCTATGATACTTGTTTTTCTAGTCTTCTACACATGTGCTAAATTAGTTGTCATTTTCACCTTTTCAATACACATTTTTCTTTTCACAATACATCGCTACCTATAATGGGCATGTTTAGATCTCTCACCTTGTCACCTTGTTGCCTCGTCTGGCTGAACGACTCGCTCGGCAAAGCCAGCCTCGCCAACAGAGGCGAGCCAAATTGGCTCTCTTGAGCAAGCAATGGAAAATCGAGTAAATAAAGGAACTAAACACTGTAAACTTTGCTTAGCAAGACAAGGTGAGCACCAACAATGAATCCAAAGACGCCTATCTTTCTCCTTCTCGTTTCCTATGCAAAATACATTTTCACTTCTTCCTAATTCCCGTGCCCCGTACTAAAACCTTATCTATTATGTGAGGGAGGGAGTATTGTGGCAAATGGGCTAAAAATTAAGCAAGCAACATAAAAGTCTGAATGCCTTGGGCCCCACTAATAGTTGTATGAAAAATGGTTTTACATGTTAGTTAGAGACATGTGGAATGGACGTGGATGCTCAAAAGAGACGTGCTTCTCCCTCATCACCCTACCACACACGACTAGTTGACCTTGGTATCTCCCTTCTTGGTGGCATAAGAGCAATTGTAGTCTATTATGAAACTAATGTTTTTTTTAAAAAAAAAGAGAGAAGATCCGAGCATCGGTTTTTTGCAATGCGACTAGTGAAGTTGGGTTCCAAAAATCAAGCATCAAGGTATGTTCATGCATCGATGCCTAATGAGCTCAGTTAATATTTAATCCTTAAGAAAGAAAGCCAAGGGAGAGGCTAGGGGAAAGGTTGTCACCGAAGGAAACTGATAATTGATCCAATGAATTGGTCCATATTATTATGACATCGATGTTCAACGCTCTAGCAGACAACAATTTTAAACATCTCATACTGGGTTTCATAAAAAAACGTAGCTCCGATCAAGGGTTCAAACTTCAACTATATTATTGGTGCTGTAAAGAGAATTCATGGTCAACACTATAATTTGAATATGCAGGAACCTTGACGACACACCTTCGCTCCTGACATATCGCCTCGACGCACTTTTACCCTCAGACACTACTCCTCCACATATGCAGTGTATCTAGTGTCGCTTTCTCTCCTTCCCCTCGGCCACCATCCGATGCGCTCTTCCCCTTGACCTGGCTCCCTATTGTTTTCTATTATTCGACATCCCTACAAGATTCCAACATCCAATTCAATGGACATTCAAATAAACATAATTTGTATTGTGCCTTACTTCAACAGCAGTGCTGATTGGTATTTGACCCAATTCAATTCTAGCACCTCCAATATATACCGAATGGACCCTTAGCAATATCATGGTAATATAAATACGTAAGGATGCCGTGAGGGTTCGAAATAGAACACGTATAACATAGAGCCGATTATATTGGCACTTAAAAGACAGAGGAAGCATAAAAACACTATGCTCTAGCTTACAATGGGATAGGCACTTCTTTGCCTGAGAACAAGTCAACTACGGTAGTTAATTAGCTTCTCAGGGCAGTGCTTGCCTTCGCATGAGCGTGTCGAATTGTCACCCAGCGTCGACGCTCGGTTAGGGCACTCCCAATGCAGACTTTACCATAGTTTTTATGTCTATTTATTATCTCTCTATTTATTAAATTTTACTGACGTGGCAAGAAAGAGAAGTGAAAAACAAGAAACGACATCACGAGGAGGAAGAAATTAGATATGGGGACAGCGGGGTAGACCTTAGCGAGTTCTAGGTGTTTGACACAGAACTGAATTCACCGCTAGATTATAGCCGGAAACAAGTTTTAGCCTGGCAACATGAATACTTGGGTGTTCCGCCCTCCGAGCATTGTTTCAGGATTAGTATGTTGGTGCCTAAACTGTGGGAGAATGGATGGAGGTGGGAGCTGTATGAGGCCAGTAACACGAAGAAGTGGCATTTCCTCATGTCCAAGGCATTGGAGCATCGTTATTGCAACATCATGCTTGTTGAGTTCCTGATTTTTTTTAAAATAATAGTATTTTAATTATTAATTGCAAATATAGCATTTGGATAAAAAGAATTGTAAGAGTGGTAGTCTGCCGGCCGCTGGATTGCCGATAGTTGACCTATCAGCAAATGGAGAGCCGACATTGACCTATCGGCCTTCTAGAGCCGATCGGACTTTACCTGACGCCGCCCAAGCGAGGCTTGTCGGAGGGGCTCTGTCGACCTTGGCCGGCCGGCAGATCCTTGGACCCATAGGCTTATCGGCGTATGGAGGACGATTGAACCTGTCGGCCCGTGGTGGCAGCCGACAGCCTAAAATATCTCTGCCCTAAAGTATCTACGGCCGACGTCACCATTACCCAGCGCCTCTCACGCGCGACACGAGAGAGGAAGAAATCGCGATATTTGCCTTGGGAGGACCAGCCTCGTTTCCATCTTTCCCCTAAAGATCTCGTGCGCCCGAGCCCCCGCGCTCCGTCCGCCCGATGATCGCGTGCGTCCCACGGAGCCTCGCCCGTCGTCGCAGAGCCAGGATGCGGACTTGGTGTTGGCGCCGCCGTCCCTGGAGCGGTCGGTCCGTCGGTGCGGGTTACTCTCGGTGGCGGGAAGGACGAAGGAGATGCAGCCGCGCAGCTTCCGCGAGCAGACCATGTCGATGATTGTGCTGGCCGAGAAGGTGTTCCCGAGCACGGTCAACTCCGTGATGAAGCTGCGGCACCTGCGACTGTGGACGGTGTACAGGTGTGACACATCTCGTGGCCGGACGAGGAGGCAGCTGCCTCCCAGGCCAATCCCATGGTGCTCGTCCAGATTCTCATGTACAACGAGAAGGAGGTCGATCCTACGGTGCTCGTCCATATTCCCATTTGTAGAACCAAAAGGAGGTATATACTGTATGCACGAATGATGGAGCAGAGGACCCGGGAAGGAGGTGGGATGAATGATTGTGAAGACTCCGAATAAAAAAGGTTGCACTTTGTGAAAATAGTTTCTCGTCTGAGAGTCCCAGAACATAGAAACTAATCTTAGTTTCTGCATTATAAGTCCCCTTAGGCAGCTGACTCTACCTATAAGCACCCATATCGTATCCACCGTGACGAGGAAAACATGTAGCGGATAGAAGCGTCTGACCAGCTAAAAGCATTGTACGCACCCTTTCAAAATACACTCTACTGTCAACAAAGAAAGTCAAAGCCTAAATCTTGCCAGGGTGATGCATTCCCCTAAAAAATATTAACAGTGTTTGAGTTAATTTAAGAATTTGGACGTGTTCGACACAGTCATAACAACTGCTGCTATCCTCTTAGTACAATACTAGAAATGCTCGTGGCCTTGCCGCGTATGGCTGGCTGGTGTGTGGGTTGCTTGCAACTTTGATGGGCATTTTTTTTTTCCCGTAGGAGTTACCGAGTGTAGTAGGATAAGTATTTATTTATTGCAGATATCGTGAGCCTGTCAGCATATCATGGAGAGAGGGAAATTATGTTTAGCTCTGGTTATATAGAAATGCTGATAGGCTCACATAATATATATCTACGTAGCAAAAGCTATTGAAACTAAAAAAAGTCAAACGTCTTATAATTTGGAACAAATGGAGTATTTAGCTAGCAATACAAGAACTGTATGGATCTAAATTCCTAATGCACACAATTTTGATATCACTACTAGGAATCATGTGTGTGGCTAACAGCTTGACACTATTTGGTTGGTTGGAGAAATGGGGTGATAAGGTCCGTATCTCTTCTCAACTGGAACAGGAAGTTGTGGGCGAGGAGTTTTAGCTTGGCATTGCTCCACTGATATTGAGCTTAGGCTTCAGAGACAACAATACTCCTTGAGTTGCTGTTTTGCTGTTTATAGCTTACTGTGAAAAGGAACGCAAGTAAAATCAGATCATTGATATATTGAAAACTTTGGAGATGTGCATTTCCTGAATATTGGAGAAAAGATTTGTTGCCTTCTATTACCTTGTCTAGTAGGCAGTCTGTAGAATCTAAGTATCCCAGAGCTTGTTTTTGTTCTGTTGGTTGGTGGTGGAGTAATTGAAGTAAGTTTACTATTTTTATAAATAGTAGCATCAAACTAATCCAATTTCAATTGAAAATGCAAGTGCAAGAGGATAAAATTGAAATGTGCATGTCAAAATTCCATTGCATCGTGGTAAGGTACTACACTTCGACAACAGGAACAGAGACTTCAGTTTAGACATGAAGCAATAAGGCATTCAAACAGAAATGAATTTAGGAAGAACTGATGATTCTGGCTATACTATTATTTTCAGAAAAATAGGACAGTCAAAATGCAAATGGTCAGTTATTTTAGATTTATTATTAGAAACCAGTCTTATGTTGTATATTTCAATATTTATCAGATAATGTGATCACAAATCCAATTTTGCTAAAATGCATTTGAGAAAATGTAACAGTGAGAAAATATGGATCACTGATGATCATCCAGATCAGTAATGATTGGGTAGATCTAGAGCAAAATCTGCATGGGGCTTGCTTATGTAGATGGCCTGATCGTCAGCTCTTGCCTGCAAAATCGAACATTAAGAGCAAGAATATACACGATAGAACATAATTGCTCATGAACTCAAATATAAACTTCAATATTATCAGGGAGTCCTTTGGGTAAGCATAAATCAGAAGAGAGAGTCATATGGCTGATAATAATTTGACGAAAACTTTGTAAATAATGACAATAGATAATAAATTAGAGGAAGCACGGTGTATATCTAATCAGTCCATACTTGGCATTACATAATTTGGAGGGTTCTTTGTCATCTCAGGAATATTGAATCCTTTGTTCAGAGAGGTTGGGATGGTGAGCTACCATGACATAGAAGAAATGGGGGACGATTGTGTTGCAAAAGAAGCTGGACAACCAAGACAATTACAAAAACGATGGCTGAGCTACAAGCAAACAGCGTGGCGGGTTTCAACATCCGGTAGTGAGATTGGTTACCTGTGACTATAGAAAACACTTGATAATAGAAAATATCCGCTGTGCTTGGAATCTATAGAGTAAAGTAAATAAAAGCTAATAACAAGATACTAGAGTAGGCATGCTTGGAAAAAGAAAACATTCGCTTTGCTTACAATATATAGAATGTTGTTCTAACGGCAATAGTGCATTTTGCATATGTATGCGATCACTGGAGACTATTTGTCCAGCTTGGCTCATCAAATCATATGCACAGAGACAAAACAGTAGTAGTGGTACTAGGAGCAAAAGCAGAATCAGAGTACCAAGCAAAGTGGCCAAGTAACATTCAGAGGAAGAAAATTACACAAAGCCACAAAGTCATCATATGTTTCTATATATTTACTCCCTAAAGTTGCATGTTTCGTGAACTCTCTAATTAATCTGCTAGAGTGGTTTACTGAGAATTTTTGGACTGGGTCAAACATATTGAAAATGAGTTATAACACGGCTTTTCTCTCTTGCTGTAAGACAAGGAAGAAGATTCATCTTTCTTTCTCTGCAAATCAATTCTTCAATGTATAGGATTCCATTCCAATAATCAGAGCTCCACACATTGGCATCTTAATTAAATCCATCAAATGGAGAAGGCAAGTTACCTGATTACCTGAGGTCCACCATCGGGCCGTGGAGCGTATGTGTTAGGTGGGGTTGGCCCTCTTGTCAAACACCTTGCAGGCAGCACTGCAGCCCGGCTCCAGTGGCCTGGTAGGCGCAGCCGTCAGCGTGGTGGGTGAGACAGCCGGATGCAGACCTTCAGGGGATGGGACAGGACCCTATCGACCTTCCAGGCATCGACTGGTACGCTTATCGGCCCTTGGACGGCCGACAGGGACATATCGGCCATTGGACCCACATGCTTATCGCGGATGGAGGACCGATAGGATCCTGTCGGCCCGTGGGAGACTGTAGCAGCGCGTGACAGCCCACGTCACCGCAGACTTGCACCCATGCTTGCTGCACCAACGCGAACGTTGGCCCCCCCAGTCTTTTTTACTGTGGAGGAGGCGTGTCCAGTACTACATGTACCCGTGTGCGGTGTGTCCGTGCAGGAGTATCGAGCATCTCTGATACTGAAACATCACACATCTCGTCACGTCACCGCTGAAAAGAGCTAGAGTACCAGCAAGGGAGAATGCCATACGGTGCAGTGCAGACTGCAGAAGATTTATTAAAAACACTAATAGTAGCTTTTTGTTGCATTTTCCACATTTATTTCAGTTTTACACCAATAGTTGCAATACAATTACCCACACAAATACACCTGCTAACACATTGACGAACACAAAACTAAAACGGGAGGACAGGAAACAGAGGGAGCAGAGCTCTGCATTATTCTCCTCTACTAGCTGGGATGGATGGCAGCACACAGAGAGGAGTGTAGGACTCGGCGACTCGCCTCTCATCAGCAGCAGCTCATCTTGGCCCGGCTGGCTACGACACAACTCTCTTCGATCGATCACCTTCTACAACACAAAAAGGGGAACCGAGCAATTGTTAGTAGGAGAGTACATACCCATTAGATAAACTTGAAGGAGAGGAAACTACGACACATTTTCTTGACACAAGCATAGAATAGAAAATGTTTATGTGTGCAAGCATATGCGTATGCTCCATTCTTGTACGTACCTAATGCTCCGAGAGATTGATAGCAGAGTGGTAGACCTCACTTCTTCTAGTAGTAAGGCGGCGGCGGGCTAGGGGTGTGAGACCCCGGCGGCTGCTTGTACGCCGGCGGGGTAGGGGTCGGCGGCTTCTACGCCGGTGGAGTAGGGGTCTGGGGCTTGTACCCTGGCGGAGCAGGCTTGGGGATCGGCGTGTAGGTTGGCGGCTTGGTAGCCGGTGGAGTGGTGGTCGGGGGATTGTACGCCGGTGGCGTGGGAGTGTAGGTGGGCGGCTTGGTAGCCGGTGGCATGGGTGTGGGAGTGTACGTCGACGGGGCCGGCTTGGGCGTCGGGTACGTTGGCGGCTTGGTGACTGCGAAAGGCTTCTTTAATTAATTCTCACCATCGTCCATCGGACACGCTGCTAGAAGGCATCGCATGCTCCGTCAGCGTCACCGCTACAATGAGCAGGCCTAGATGCCATGCCGAGGCCGCGCGAGCAGGCCTATGCTCCAGCCATGCCTAGCTTTGCCTCGCCGCGCCATTCTCCATGGCGTGTCAGTGCCGCACCAAGATCGGTGGCGCGGCAGACCCTGCCACGTCACCGGTCAGCGCCCCGGTCGTCGCCACGTCATCCCCCTCGCCGCGCCACCATGCATGGCGCGGCACAGGCGTTTCGCTGCGCCAGGGAAATAGGCGCGGCCAAAAGTGTTAGTTTTGGGAAAAAAAATAAAAGTGTTAGATTTAAAATTAGTTTACAAAAAGTGTTACAAATAAAAAAATCGACCTTGCAGGGGAGGTTGTCTCGAGAGCCGACAGGACCCTATCGCCATCCAGGAGCCGACTAGTCTCTGCGCAGTGCCACCAACAGGCTTGTCGGCCCTCGGACTTTGGCTTTGGTTGGCCGACTGGCCTTGGACCCACATGCTTATCGGCGTATGGAGGACCGATGGGATCCTGTGGGCCCACGGCTGGCCGACAGGCCTAAGATATCTACGGCCGATGTCACCATTACCCCGCTGTCTACGCGCGACACGAGGAGGAAGAAATCGGTGATATTTGCGTTGGGAGGACCAGCCTCGTTTCCAGCTTGCTAGAACTGCATGTCTTGCTTTGCAGAGATTATCGGATGAAGACAAGGGCAAACTGATAAATACTAATAGTAGAGTATTTGCTGCATTGCAAGGTTTGGTAACAAGCTTCTCAATTCCTGAGAAAATATGGTATGGAGATGCACATAAAGCTATAAGCACCATCTATACCCTACACCCTGCACCTGAATTTTTTGCTGCCGAGACTGCAAAGAAGTCCCTCAGTTCTGTATTCAGTGTTTTAGGAACCGAGGATGTGTCAAATGGAGATGAAACTGAGAATGATGCCTCTCTGTCATCAGTATCACCTTCAAAGCTGGGTAGATTTCTTTTTGTTATTAGCCATATAGCACTAAATCATTTGGTGTACATTGAGAATTCCGTTAGGAAAATTCAGAAACAGATACGGAAGAATGAAAAATCTCAGTCCACCACTGAGGATCTCTTGTTTCAAAAAAAAAGTTCAGAGGTAATTCTGGCTTGACTGCTAAATCTCTGTCCTTTCTGAACTTGTCACTTTTTACTTGTCATTGTTTCAGTTAAGCTCAGGTCGTGCTTTATTGTGTAACTGGCACAAGGCATAAATGCCGAACTGGGACTTGGTGCAACCATAGATATTGCAATCGAGTCCCTTGCTGAAAGAGCAGAAAAGGAAATTGTTTGCTGTTCTTCTGAAAAGAATCTCATAGGACATTGTGGGACATTTCTCTCAAAACACTGCAGGAATCTTACATTGCTGCAAAAGGTTTATAGTCTATTGGGCTTCCTGTATTTCATTTAAACATGTTTTTCTTGTTACTATCTACAGTTACTAATTTCTTCTCTTTTGAATCTAGTTCCCAGACCTACAAGCTTCTGCAATGCTTGCTCTTTGCAGGCTAATGATCATCAATGCAGAGTTCTGGTAAGTATTTTTTTTTTCTTTCGCATGACTCTAGTTGCTCGTTATTGTGGACCGATGAGCACTTCATGAAAGCACTCCCTCACATTAAATACTCAACTTTTAGCGAAGCAAATCTTCAAATCTTGTTTACTGTTGCTGAAAGTGCACCTTCTGAAATTGTCCGGATCCAATTGCACCGTAGCGCTTGGCGATTTAGCAGTTACCTTCTCAAACCTCTTAGAACCTTGGACAGAGTATATATATGCCTGGTTAGATTTTTTTGACACTTTTTGTAAACTAATTTTAAATCTAACACTGTTTTATTTTATTTTTTTCAAAACTAACACTTTTGCCCACGCCTATTTCTCTGGCGCGGCGAAACGCCTCTGCCGCGCCATGCATGGTGGCGCGGCGAAAGGGATGACGTGGCGACGACCGGGGCGCTGACCCGTGACATGGCAGGGTTTGCCGCGCTACTGATCTTGGCGCGACAGTGACGCGCCCTGATCGGTGGCGCGGCAGAGCCGGCTAAAGGCCCGCGGCCCAGTCCCGCCGCGCCACGCCCTGCCCACCGCACGCACGCCCGCGCCAGGCCGCCTGCCCATCGCGCCTTCGCGCCCGCCGCCCCTGCCAGCCGCCATGCCTACCCGCCTGCTTGCCTGCCGCGCGTGCCCGCCGCCCCGCCACGCCACGCACGCTGGCGCGCCACTCCCTCCGGTCGCTCGCCGCGCCCTCCGGCCACGCACGGCGGCTGCCCTCCGCGCCCGCCACCGCCCTCACTACAGCGCCCGCGACTGCCGCCGCCGCCCTCACTGCCGCACTATACACTATATCACAACCTAACTCAATTACGAAATGTTCAGGTGCATTGGTGTCCTTGAAATGCTTTTGTAGATGGATTTTTGTGTTAGAGTTTTTTACGGAGGAAGTGTTAGAAGAGAAGATGGTATATTTAAGGATATGGAAGAAGAATTAGAATGGTTTGATGAACCTCCTAGTTTCAACGACCTTTGTGTCCGTTTGAATGCAAAGTTTGGTGGTGATTTCACACTGAAGGGGAGGTTTGATACTGGGAAGACTAGGGCACACTATGTCCTCATGCCCTTGCGTGACCTTGCTCACTGATCCCGTTACACTAGGGTGCTCCAAGGTTCTAATGTGCCCATGGCTGAGGTGGTGGTGGAGAATGGGTACAGGATGCAGGGTGTCGTGGACGGGCCATCCATTGACGGTGTTGGAGGCAATGAGCAAGAATTAGGGGTCGAAGGGGAAGCAGCTCAGGGTAACATGGATTTAGAGTGACGCATGAGCAGTTTCATTCAAGTCAAGTAGGCTGTATAAGCAATGATTTCGATGTGAATGAGTTTGAACTGGAAGAGGAGGAGCAGGAGGAGAAGGACAAGATCGGTGATGTAGTTAACAGTGATTCGGACGATTCGGATGGTGACCAGGGAGATAGACATGCTATGCCCACACCGGTTGATGCCATGCCAGTACCTATTCATGGTATGCCATTACCAGTACCAACTAAGATTTTGCATGCTATCCAGGCTCAGGGTAGACTAGTCACAGATTTGCCAACAGATGATACCCCCTATGATTCATGGGGCAGAATTAGCGAAGCGCGACAGTATGTTCCACCACCACCTTACACAGCCACTGAGCTTGAGCAACTAAGGCCGATGAACGTACCTTTCAGGAGCATTCCGAACTATAGGGATGTCAGCATGACGGATATGACAGTTTGTGACATCGGTCGCCAGATGTGTAGGAAATCATTGTATGACCATGAGAAAGAAACCCTTAGGAAGGGGATGACATTTCAATATATTGTCAGAGATGAAGCTCTTCCTTTAGGACTATGTTGTGTATCACCATAGGTCGTCCAACGTCACTCATTCAGACCAGGAGTTGAGGTACCACGTGATATATAAAAACGGTTGTATGTGGAGGTTAAATGCACGAAAGAGACAGAGTGATGGCAAGTGGAGGATAAGTAAAGTTGTCGAACCCCACACTTGCCTAACAAATAGGAGGAAGGAAAATCATCAGCAACTCACTGCACGTTACCTTGCCCGTCGTATATTGGGGCTCGTTGATGACAATAACGACATTTCGGTGTCTTCTTTACAACAATCCATATCTGGATTCGTTAAGTACGATGTGAAGTACGAAAAGGCTTGGCGTGCTAAGCAAATTGCCCTAGTGATTCGATGGGATAGTTGGGAGGAAGCGTACAACAGGGTGCCCCGCATCTTATGTGCAATGCATTACTATAACCCTGGCTTGAAATGGTTTGTGGACACCGGAGGGATGTATTTTTGGGACCCATTGAGGCATGTCCTCTATCGTGTGTTCTGGTCATTCGTACAAACGGAATATGCATTCTAGTTTTGTCGTCCAATCGTACTTGTTGATGGGCACCTTGATGATGGTTGCTGCTATTGATCCTGAGGACCAGATAGTACCCATAGCTTTTGCTTTGGCAGAGGGAGAGAACAATGAATCATGGTCATGGTTCATGCGGCTTCTACGTGTACAAGTGCTTGGCCCATCTCGCACTATATGTTTGATCTTAGACTATCACCCAGGGCTTCTTAATGCTGCAGCTAAGCATATAGATGGGTTCCCGCCTCTAGTGCATAGATGGTGCATGAGACACTTTGCCGCTAATTTCTGCCGGTGTTAGAGGAAGCAGGAGGTATGTGACAAGGTAAAGGCTCTATGTTGTGTACGTACAGAGCACCAGTTCAAGGAGATAAAGAGAGAACTAGGCAAGATGCTAAATGAAGCGGGAAAGGCCTAGTTAGAGGCGTAGATGGAACCGAAGGCTCAGTGGGCGTTAGCATATGACGAGGGGGGTTTCAGGTATGGCATCATGACCACTAACTCCTTGGAGTCCTTCAACCATGTATTCACCGAAGTTCGATCATTGCCTGTGTCTGGAATTGTTGAGTTCTCCTTTCATAAGTGCAACGAATATTTTATCAAGGGGTGGGAACTTGTGCAGAGGAGTATAGCTGAGCAGGGGCGTTTTGGAAAGGCCGGAGCAGAACATTTGAAGGAGGCCTAGGAATTGGCCAAGCAGCACACCGCTGAGCCGTATGGACCCCGCCACCATATCTTTAGTGTATGGGGCAAGGGTGGCACAAGCTTGGGTGGCGAATATTATGATGGACGAAACTACCGAGTTGATGTTGAAAAGGTAGAGTGCAGTTGCAACGTCCCTCAAATCATGCATACCCCTTGCTCTCATATGATCACGGCCTGCAGGGTTCGTGGGTAGAACTATGAGGATCTGCCATATATGTCACCCTTGTATCTCCGTTCGAACACCGTTAGTATTTGGGAGATGGGCTTCGAGCTATACCTTGACCCGACACAGTGGCCACCTTATAATGGTTATGCCTATGTGCCGCATCTGGATCTAATGAAGGTAGGGAAGGGTAGGAGGAAGAAGAAGCAACTCAAAGGGGACATGAACGCTATGAGAGGGTACGGCGAAGACAAGTACGGAGGGGGAGCATTCAACGAGACCCGTGGAAGGAATCTTTGCTCCATTTACAAAGACCCTGGTCTCAAGGCTAGCAGGCATAGAAGATGAGGGCAGCAGGTCCATACATAGAAGTTGCTTATTTTCCTAGTGAAGTTGTTTAATATGTTTGTTAATGTTACTTTGAATATATACATGTGCTTTCATATTGTGTTAGTATTGCATAACAAGTAGTTCAAATTTTGTAATGCTACATAATGTTAATTTGAATATTGTTAATTTGAATACTCTAACCCTTTGTTTATCAATTTGTAACAGGATGGCCCCTCCCACGTAGCACCAGTTATACCCCCTTCTTGAGGTGGAGTACGACGACCCGCACCGAGCACACTTCTTGATTGACACCGATGCAGAGGTGCCCTTGCCTCCTTTGAGGCCCCGCACGCACACTAGGGCGCACCAGTGGGACGAGCGTTACGCGTCGTACATATGACGTGTCGACTTCCTCGAGCTTGTCCGTGTTGTCAACTACGGTCTTCCGCCCCTTGACCCAGCACTACTTACTGCAACTGTAGATAGGTGCGAGTGTCTTCATTGTACGTAAACATTCTTATAACAAATTTGAGGTAACTAACAATCGTTCTATTCTTATAACAGGTGGAGGCCTGAGACCCACACGTTCCACCTACCTTGCGGCGAGATGACCTTGACCATGCAGGACGTGAAGGCTATCTTTGCCCTTCGGTTGGGGGGACTTGCAGTGACAGGTATAGTTGGCAACGATCACTGGAGGGAGCTGGTGGCTCAGTTCACTGGATTTCTTCCACCGGACAATGAGGTTTCCAAGAAAAATAAGTGAGCAATTCAAGCCTATTTAATACTTGCATTGCTTTCCTGCAGCTATCGGGTCTCATTTTCTTTGGTGAATTTCAGGAAAAGTTTCAGTGTTTCATCATCATAGATCACAGAGCGCTTTGATTACTTGGACCCACAGGCTGATGAGGCTTAGATCGATAGGTTCACTAGGTGTGGCTCTGACACTTCCTTGGTGCTTTCCTATTCCCAAACGCCTTAGGCAACACCATCAGCTGGATCTTTCTTGACATACTACGCCAGCCGTAGGATAACATAGCGGCGTACAGCTAGGGTAGCGTAGTCCTGGCATGGACGTATCGACAGCTATGCGTTGCCTATCGTCGCACCTTAGGGTATGCGAACCTTGGGGGTTGCTCCTACCTACTCCAGGTTTGGTGTTAGGAACGATGGCCTGTTGGGAGGCCCCTTGTTACCGGTTTCCCTGTAAGTACTTCGGTTCACTATATTCTTTGAGGCAGTTACATATGATGAAATTATTAATGGCTAATTCATTATCGTGTTCAATGCAGCATTGGAACGGACATGATACACTGCCTACAGCTCTATATATCTAGACGCAAGCAGAGTTAGTTAGAGGGAATGCGAGGCGCAAGTACAGGGAATACATGGACTGTCTCGACGTCCTGACATAGCACCAGGTTACGCTCTCTTTACTATCATACATGTGTCTTGTTCGATGTACACTATATCACAACCTAACTCAATTATGAAATGTTCAGGTGCATTGGTGTCCTTGGGATGCTCCAGAGCTCTAGGACTATCTGAGTCCTGTCACTAGGGATGAGTCAGACGAGTATCGCTGCAACGTCCCTCTCATTTTCTTCCACGTGGTCGAGATTCACTTGCCCATCAGGGTTTGCATGCAGTTTGAAAGAATGACAGGCTACCCACCACCGCTTTACTCCACCAACCAATAATTGCACGGGTGCGTTATCGATTAATAACAAAGCTACAACTCAGAGGTGTGTGTATGGTACAACTAACAATCGTTTTGTTGCAGGTATGACCGCAGGAAGAGGTACAAGACCAAGGATTGGCGCGTGACACACAACGTGTACATCCAGTTGTGGCAGACCAGGGACCGACACCCGGTCGATACGGGTCCCCCACACGACCAGCACACCTTCAACGAGTACCTGCGGTGGCTTCACAGGTCTACGAAGACACATATCAAGCCCCCATACATTGAGGAGGCGATTGACGAGGACGACGAGGAAGATGTGATCGAAGATGTGCACGACGTTGCCACTAGGGACCACACACAACTATAGAGAGCCCCACTTCAAAGATACATGGTAAGATACTCGAATGGTACAATTTGTTATCCATTTAGTATTAAGTATGTGTACTAAAACTATCCAACCGCGTTTTTGTACCCAGGCTACACAATTGTCAAGGCTGTCCAACGAAGCAGCGTTTCGGCTTCACGAGTCTAGAGGGCAGGGGCCAGGTGTTCTTGAGGCTTTTGTGGAGGTAAACATAAACTTGTCCGTTCTGAAAATGTTTCTTTAGTTTATATGCGTTAGGGAAATGCACTAACTTTAACGTCTATTCATGCAGAAGGTGAAGCGGAGCTGTAGGAAGCTAGCTCAGAAGTTGAGCTGCATGGACACTCCTTGGGTGGAACCCGATTACCCGGCGCGGTCAGATGCCACGTCTTCTGGCTCTTTGAGGACACCCGCTGGCTCCTCTTAGCTGGTGACAGGTGCCGCTTCCACTGTGCGTACACCACCACATTATAGCGCTGGGAAGGATCCTGCAAACAAGGACGACGAGGACAACGATGACGACGACGACCCCCCGGGCTTCCGCATACAGCACCACCAGTGGGACCCTTGGTAGCAGGACAAGATCAGCATGTCTCAGCTAGGTGGTGCCCCGCTTGGTACCCAAGGAGCCTCACAGGTAGTAACAAAGGTAGTTTCTTTAAATACGTAGGCTCCATGAACTAACGATCATAAAGATTATAAGTAATCGTGCATATCATATACTTGTAGGGTATGAGCCGTAAGCACCGGCAACGCGACCACACCGACGTTGGCTACACTCCCAATGTGTTGCATACAAATCCGAAGAGACAGAGACGTCCAAGGGATCCTTACACTCCTGTGACTTAGTTGGTTATGTCGAACTTATGTCGAACGAATATTGTCGTCCGAAACTTGTAGACTCTTGAACCAATAAAAATGTTATGTGGCAACTTGTCAACTTGAGCACGGACTTCATTTATTTGCTTCATATTCATTTCAATGCATCGTGGAAGCACTTGTAGTTGTTTACAGCACCGACAGCAGCTCCCGTTCAATTGCAATTGAAGCTGGTCGGCTTCTGCCTATGTCTAGGTCCTACCGTGCCATGGGCCTTGGCGCGTCAGTGCCGCGCCGTGGGCTATGGCGCGGCAGAACCTGGGCTTAGGGTTGCGTGCCAAAAGCAACTCATGAAAAAAGAACGCGGGAGTAAAGTGATAACATTATTGTTATTTTACATTGATCTGATGCTAATAACATAAATTACATGCTACTATTTTAAAATACATGGGAAACCTGCAAGATATATATGCCAGCCAACCGTATTCGAAATAATTTCACTCCATTTTATTCGTTTTAGAAATTCTCAATGCATTCGCTATTATTAAAAAAACTTGGATGCATCGGAGAGCGACAAACGGATGGGTCAGAGGGTGACAAACGGATGGGATCACTTAAGATCGACCTTGGGTAATCCGAGTACATGATACATGGTTACAATACATCAATAGTCCAAATGAAAAATAAGACAACACAATGAAAGTTCTAGTACATAGCTACATTGATCATTAATAAAGCATGGAACTAACAGATGGCGCAATCTAAAACCCTCAGTCAGAAACATACTGAGTAAGCAACTCGTCGTCCAAGTACCAATCCTCTACCACAACCCTGTTGTTGTGGCTAGGGTCACCTGCATTGCCCTGATCTGCCTTTCGCCTGTAGTAAGCGAACTCTGCTTCATCTGTGGCCTGAGACAAGAACACGTTCTCTTTCTCCTCGTTCATGTGGCTAGGCTCACCCGTATTGCCCTGATTTGCCTGTCGCCTATAGTAAGCGGCCTCTACGGCTTAAGAGAAGAACGCTTCCTCATCCTCCTCCGCCTTCAAACCTGTCTCTGCTAGAGCGATGAGCTCGCTCAGTCTGCTAGTGTCTTCCTCATCCTTCTCCACCTGTAAGCCCACCTCCACTAGAGCGATGAGATCGCTCAACCTGGCAATGTTGTCCTCATCCTCGTCCCCCTCATTGTCCAACACAATCGGACATAGAACGCTGTGACCAGCTCGGGTTCTGTGCTCATGTAACTTGTTTTCCACATAACTTGCACGGGCCACCTCTGCGGCATAGTCCCCGCTGCATCCAATCCCTTCATGTATAAATGCAATAAGTTATCAACGCGATTATAGTACATTTAAAAGCAGGCAACGGAAGTAAGAAGGCTTCCAATGACTCACTTGCACACAATACAACAACATAGTCGTTCAAAACCTGCATCTGTACTGTTTCCTCCTCCATTGCAGCCTTCCTTGCCCTATCCTCCTCCAATGCCCTCCGTCTCTCCGTCCCCCATTTGTCAAGCCTGACATCGATCGGGTTACGAATACCGCTCTTTCTAGCAAACTCACGCATGTTCTTCTTTCGCAGTTTAAGAAAGTGGTCGACATAGTCACGTCCATATCCCCTCTTCCGCGCAATTACTTGCGTCCCCTTCAAGTCATCCAAGAACTTATCTTGACCATCATAAGATTCCCACTTGCATTTCCTAGTGCTCTGTTCAAACGAAAAATTATATCATAATTCTTCAAAAAATCCAGAAAATACAATTTCAGTTTTTCAACACCAATAACCAACCTCATTATAGTCAACCATATGGTCGCAATAATGGCCTATTCTAAGCTCCGAAGGGACTAGGCCATAGTTGGATTTAACACCACATTCGCACATGACAGGAGGTGTTTTGTAAATTACCCTTTCTTTCTTCTTTTCCTTAACCTTTGGCGGTTCTTCCGGCCATTGGTTCTTAGGACCATACAACCACTCCTTGAAACGACACTTCGCCATTGAAAACCCCTAAACAAGGTGACATTAGTACATGAACACATATAGCTCAACATTTCAACACATATACTTTGCACTTACTTCATGCTTGTTTGGACACACAAACTCCAATGTATTCTCAGGGTTTATCACAGCTCGTCTCCGCAATCGAACAGAGGAGGTTCCTCGAGTCGTCTAACTGCGCCTAAGTGCTTCTCCTTAGCCGTCATTGGAGGGGGGTTAGGGGGAGGTGGAACCCACCGCTCGAAGTGCTCTCGTGGATGTCGCCCTCTCCACCAATCGTCGAAAAGGAGGCCCGCCGCCGCCAAACTTATCTGCACCGTCGATCCACTGAAAGAAAGAGCACCTCTCATGGGCCTACACAACAAAATTCCAACAAAATATTAGTAACCTAGTAATACAAATGAAGAAAAAAAACATACGGAAACAATTACTTACATTAAAACGACTGCATGTGTAGAAGCAACGAGCCGCTGTGTCTGGATGTCTTAATTGAAACACGTCGACCGGACGACCACAGTCACAGTTAGGGACAGGGAGGTCAGGAGGGACGGGGGCATCTTTGCTAGACTCGTCGGGGTACAATTCTCTAGGACGACCCTGTTTTCGCCACAACTGCTACGGCCTAAAATATCTACGGCCGACGTCACCATTACCCCGCTGTCTACGCGCGACACGAGGAGGAAGAAATCGGCGATATTTGCGTTGGGAGGACCAGCCTCGTTTCCAGCTTGCTAGAACTGCATGTCTTGCTTTGCAGAGATTATCAGATGAAGACAAGGGCAAACTGATAAATACTAATAGTAGAGTATTTGCTGCATTGCAAGGTTTGGTAACAAGCTTCTCAATTCCTGAGAAAATATGGTATGGAGCTGCAGATAAAGCTATAAGCACCATCTATACCCTACACCCTGCACCTGATTTTTTTGCTACCGAGACTGCAAAGAAGTCCCTCAGTTCTGTATTCAGTGTTTTAGGAACCGAGGATGTGTCAAATGGAGATGAAACTGAGAATGATGCCTCTCTGTCATCAGTATCACCTTCAAAGCTGGGTAGATTTCTTTTTGTTATTAGCCATATAGCACTAAATCATTTGGTGTACATTGAGAATTCCGTTAGGAAAATTCAGAAACAGATACGGAAGAATGAAAAATCTCAGTCCACCACTGAGGATCTCCAGTCTGACGTGTCTAAAAGTTCAGAGGTAATTCTGGCTTGACTGCTAAATCTCTGTCCTTTCTGAACTTGTCACTTTTTACTTGTCATTGTTTCAGTTAAGTTCAGGTTGTGCTTTATTGTGTAACAGGCACAAGGCATAAATGCCGAACTGGGACTTGGTGCAACCATAGATATTGCAATCGAGTCCCTTGCTGAAAGAGCAGAAAAGGAAATTGTTTGCTGTTCTTCTGAAAAGAATCTCATAGGACTTTGTGGGCCATTTCTCTCAAAACTCTGCCGGAATCTTACATTGCTGCAAAAAGGTTTATAGTCTATTGGGCTTCCTGTATTTCATTTAAACATGTTTTTCTTGTTACTATCTACAGTTACTAATTTCTTCTCTTTTGAATCTAGTTCCCAGACCTACAAGCTTCTGCAATGCTTGCTCTTTGCAGGCTAATGATCATCGATGCAGAGTCCTGGTAAGTTTTTTTTTTCTTTCGCATGACTCTAGTTGCTCATTACTGTGGACCGATGAGCATTTCATGAAAGCACTCCCTCACATTAAATACTCAACTTTTAGCGAAGCAAATCTTCAAATCTTGTTTACTGTTGCTGAAAGTGCACCTTCTGAAATTGTCCGATCCAATTGGACCGTAGCGCTTGGCAATTTAGCAGTTCGCTTCCCAAACCTCTTAGAACCTTGGACAGAGTATATATATGCCCGGTTACGTGATCCTTCAGTGTCAGTGAGGAAGAACGCTGTGCTGGTCATTTCTCATCTTATATTGAATGATATGATGAAGGTCTCTCTCTCTCTCTCTGCTCCTCTCCTTCCCACCATTCTGTTATTTTTCAGTCACTTTGAAAATCTTTTGTAGGTTAAAGGGTATATAAATGAAATGACTGTAAGAATAGAAGATGAAGATGAGAGGATATCAAGCCTGGCAAAACTCTTCTTTCATGAGTTGTCAAAAACAGGTATGGAAACATGTGTCAGAAACATTGGTTGACTAACTTGAATACTAGAGTTTCACTTCTATCTAACAAATTTGCATCTTTTTTATTGGTGGCCTCTGAAGGAAGCAACCCAATTTATAATCTTCTTCCGGATATCTTGGGTAGACTGCAATCAACACCTCAAAGAAGAAACCTTTTGCAATATTATGCAGTTCTTAATTAATTCAATTAAGAAGGTATAATGTTTTTGGTCTTGTTGTTGGAGAAGACCAAAAATAGGTATTGAACCATTTGCCTGTAACGCTATCCAAAGGACGAATGTCTTATATTTTAGGTTACGGTTGTTGAAGACAGTCTAACAGTTAGTTGTAGCAGCTTGTAAATTAACGACGACTCGAGTCATATACTCATATAGGTGATCCAAATAGTCTAGAACCTAACAACTAATCCTAGGTGATTGAAACAGGCCTCTAGACCACAGTACCACCACACATGAGGAGGTGTCCAGTTTAGCACCCAGGTTTATCAGCCCCTGTGCTTAACGAACTCACTAACAAGATGTTACTACTACTGGGTTTGTTGGCGGCTGCACTGCACTGCACCAGATTCGTCTTGGAACCGGAGCCGAAGCGTATGGGGTTGATGATTCCCAATCATTTGTCACTTCCATACATCTGGAATTCTGAACGGAGTATAATAATGAATAAATAAAGGAAACGTTTCTTTCTTAAATTTAGCTTATACTAATGCTTATGTTGAAATATTGTGAGAGAAAATATTATCCCATGGCTGAAAAGTAGTGTTGAATAAGCTCAAGCAAACAGAGTTGAAAAAAAAACCAAGTGGCTTCTTTTTGCGACTAAAAAAAGTGTCTGAGAAAGCTTTTTTCTTCTTTTATTTTATGACAAAGCTGAGTAAGCTTGATGGCGTGTGGCGTCGTTTACGTGCAATCGATCCTCCCGGTGCGTCACGTGTGTAACGCCAACAGCGTGGCCCAAAGATCCGGTGGGCGCGACCCATGAATCAACGGGCTCTCTCCGGCCAATTAGCGTACACAAACATATACAACTAAGTTGTAGGAGTAACATATGCCATGGTCTCTCTAAAGTGTAAACTAATGCAAAGGTGATGTGTAATAATAAGGTAACTTTGCGTTGCTTTGGCGTCGTGACGGTACATGACAATTCAGTAGTGTCCAAAACTGCATGGCGTGGCAGGATGGGAAACCATGGGCTCTGTGGCAGACTGATGTGAGCTTTACCGAGATGAAAACCGGTTTCGTGTCAGCATGCATGCATCCACTGTCAGGCCCCGTTTAGTTCTAAGCCAAAAACCAAAAATTTTCAAGATTCCCTGTCACATCAAATCTTGCGGCACATGCATGAACACTACTAGAGAACAGACTTTAGAACGATGTCCCAATTTAGCATTAGCCTCGGCATTTTTTGCCCCCGGGACTAAAGGACTCTTTAGTCCCGGTTGGTAATACCAACCGGGACTAAAGGTCCCTGCCCAACGGTCGTCCATGAAGCGGGGATCTTTAGTCCCGTCTGGTATTACCAACCGGACTAAAGGTTTACCTTTAGTCCCGGTTGGTAATACCAACCGAGACTAAAGCTTTAGTCCCGGTTTGGGTTATGCCGGAATAAATATTAATATTTAGTCCCGGTTTGGACCCCTAACCGGGACTAATTATCTCGACCTATAATTACGCTCAATTCTTCCTCCCGAGCCCGAGCCATTCCATTATTCAAACTCACCGCCTCTCTGTTCTTGACTTGCATTGTTCTTGCACTCTCCCCTCCATTGGTGTTGCTCTAACTTCGATTTTGGAGGTAACAAACTTAATCCTCTTATGTTTTATCAAGAGCTTATCTCATTTTACGATGTAGATGCATGTGTAACTTTATATGTTGGACTTTATTATGATTTTATATGTCATTTTTAGCTCAAAATCACATGATGATTTGCATATATGTTTGGATAAACAAAAGTTAAATTAGTTCATCAAAATCACGCCTCGCTTTCGTCCTCATTTGAGCACGCGCCATTCTCGTCCCCGTGGCTTACGTGATCTTAGAATTAATTTTTCCATGAAATGAAAAACTTAGAAAATTGTTAGAAAATTGTAGAAAATCCGCACTAGTTGAACTTGCGGACCGTGTTCATGTCGGCGAGCATGTTCTCTCGCCGAAGCGGTAACGGACGTCAAGGAGGAGCTTTGATTCTCACGAGGGAGAGCGGCAACGGTCGTGGAAGACCGTGTTCCCTTTCTCGTAGAATCGGAGCTTCCTTGGCCAAGCCACGGTGTCCGCCCGTCCGGTGGAGAAATGCTCGTCGAGATGATCACGTAAGCAAGGTCAACTAGTACAGATGGTTATTTATTGAAACATGTTTTGAGCTATAATTTGATGAATATTTGAAAATATGAAATTTACACTAGTTTGCAAAAATAAGTATAGAAAGTAGATGACAATCGTTATCGGATCCTCGGCCTCTCGTTAGGTTCTTGAACGATCGAGGCCGAACTCCCTCTCATTATCTGCGGCAAGTGTAAGCGTAAGATTGTGATGGAGTACCGAGTCAAGAGACAGGGGACCCAACAAGGGTCGTGTTTTCTACAAGTGCCCTGGATCGCGATGTGAGTTTCTTACGCATTTTATAATTATGGCTAATTGACTCCTTTTCTTGAATATTTTTGACTAAATATTTTTTGGCTTTAATTTCAGTGGGAGGGCAATGGATGCGATGGTTGGTACTGGGAGGAAGATTATGCTACATACGTGCAGAATTTGGGTGCGCTTGAGGTAGCGGATGTCACTGATGAGGCAAAGGAGCCAAAGGGGAGAAGCTTATTGATATTCAACGTAAGAATGATTTGTCTGCTTTTAGTTGCGTTTATCACAAAATAATTATGTTACTGAAGTGCATTGTAGTTTTAGTTTGTTTAGTGATAGTTGGGATTGCTTACGTTGTAGCCAGGCTTAGTTAATTAATCAACCGTGTGTGTGTCATTTATGTTGTGTAATAAAATACTTAATTATGTTCAAGGTTTTCATAATTTGTCGTAAATACTGATTATGTCACGCCATTGGATATACAATGCCGATCGTCGCTCCCAAGACTTTATAGAGGGCTTGCACTATTTCTTAGGTGTGGCGAGGCAAATAAGCGGGATGGTTTCATATGTCATCCATGTGCCCTATGTAAGAATTTAAAGGAATATTCAAGCTCAATGAGTCTTCATTCACATTTGCTTAAGTCAGTTTCATGTCAAACTATATATGTTGGACTAAGCATGGAGAAAGCGGGGTCATGATGGAAGAAGGTGAAGGAGAAGATTTAGACATTGATGACATTATTGCTCAAGATGGTGCCTTTGATGATACTACAATGGGGGAGATGAAGAAGAGGTAGCGGTAGAAGATGATCTCGGTGATGCTCTTGGCGATGCCATTCGTGATGCACAACAAGAATGGGAAAGTGAAAAGAGAAAGTTAAGTTGGAGCGCATGCTTGAGGATCATAGGAAGTTGCTATACCCGATGGCGAAGAGGGGCAAAAAAAATGGGTACAACACCGGAATTGCTACAAGGGAAGGCAAAGAATGGTGTATCCGATAAGGCATTTGGGAATTTATTAAACCTCATAAAGAAGATGCTTCCGGCCAAATGAATTGCCCACCACTACGCATTTAAGCAAAAAAGGTTGTTCCGCCTTTGGGATTAAAAATCCGTAAGATACATGCATGTCCTAATGACTCGTATCCTCTACCATGGCAATGAATACGAGAATTTGGATGAATGCCCGTATGTATAAAGCATCGCGGTATAAGATCAAAGCGCGATGATCCTGGGTGACGTCGATGGTGAACAACGTCCTAGAAAGAAAATCCCTGCCAAGGTTATGTGGTATGCTCCTATAATACCACGCTTAAAACGTTGTTCAGAATAAAGACCACGCAAAGTTGTTGCGGTGGTATAAAGAAGACCGTAAGGTAGACAATATGCTGAGACACCCAGCTGATGGGTCCCAGTGGAGAGCGATAGATAGAGAATTTTCAGAGTTTGCAAATGAGGTTAGAAACTTAAGGTTCGCCTTAAGTACAGATGGTATGAATCCTTTTGGACAGAGAGCACTAGTCATAGCACTTGGCCGTTACTCTATGTATCTACAACCTTCCTCCATGGTTATGCATGAAGCGGAAGTTCATTATGATGCCGATCCTCATCCAAGGTCCGAGGCAACCCGGCAACGATATTGATGTATATCTGAAGCCATTAGTTGAAGAACTTCTAGTTTTATGGAACAAACCAGGTGTACGTGTCTGGGATGAGTACAAACAAGAACACTTTGACCTACGAGCAATGTTGTTCGTAACCATCAATGATTGGCCTGCTTTAAGTAATCTTTCGTGTCGGACAAACAAAGGATATAATGCATGCACACATTGTTTTGATGACCTTGACGGATATATTTGAAAAGATGTCGAAAGGTCGTGTACCTTGGCCATCGCCGATTCCTTCCTTTGAACCACCAAGTAAGAAAGAAAGGGAAGCATTTTAAAGGTAAGCCGCACCACCGAAGAAGCCTCATAACCGAACCGGGAAGATATACTCGCAATGGTCAAGGATGTGAAAGTAGTATTTGGAAAGGGACAAGGCAAAGAATCTGCTCCCAAAGATGCTAATGGACATGCACCCATGTGGAAGAAGAAGTCCATCTTTTGGAGCTACCCTATTGGCAAGTCCTAGAGGTCCGCAACGCAATCGACGTGATGCACCGACAAAGAATCTTTGTGTGAACCTCATTAGGATTCATGGGTGTGTGCGGAAGCCAAAGGATTCACTTGAAGCACGCCAGACTTGCAAAGGCATGAAAGAACAAGACAACCTTCATCCGGAGAAGACAGTGATGGACGTCATTACTTAAGTCCCGCTAGCTACACGCTTAGCAAAGAAGAGAGGGACAACATGTTCGAATGTCTAAGCAAAGATCAAGGTCCCATCGAGATTCTCCTCCAATATAAAGGGTATAATAAATGTGCCGGATAAAAAAATTCCTAAACTTAAAGTCCCACGACTGCCACGTGCTTATGACGCAATTGCTTCCAGCTTGCTTTAAGAGGAATTCTACCTCCACATGTACGCCTAGCCACCGTGAAGCTATGTGCATTTCTCGATGCAATTTCTCGTAAGGCAATCAATCCAAAGGAACTAGCTAC